CATTCAAGAAAAATGATAATCTCGGATCCCTTCTATCAAATTTTCTCAATTAATTAATCTAGATTTTTAAAATTTGATTCAACGATTAAAATTATTATAACTTTTAAAGGGATTTCTATTTGTAACTGTTGAATCAAATTTTAAGAATCCGAATTAATTGATTTAGAAGATTTGGTGGAAAGGATCCGGAGATAATCCATTTCCTTTATTCATATAGTGCTGCTAGGCGCATTTCATTGTCTAATCTCGCCACCTATATTATGTTCTTACACATTATAAAAAGGTAAAAAAATGACAACCCTTTTTTTTCCACCTACCATTATACATATGGTTATATTATTAATTTGAGTTTTTCCTTTTCCTTTTGCTGAATTTCGTTAGAGGACATATTTGTCTAAGTCCATTTCGGGGGCGAAGATTTTAACTGCACTCACCACTAATTTGAGTAGTATCATAATTCATACATCTTCGTTAGTTCATGTTTTGTGTAATGATAATCTTCCGTGTCCTCATTAGCTTAGCTGTGGTGGTGTTTGGGGTGACACTTTTACTTGGTTGAAGTGTCTGTTGCTTGTATCCCTGCTCACTGCCTTGGTCTTGGTGTTTGCCTCTTGGTAGGCTTTCGAGTCCTTGTTTGGCTTTTTAGCCCTAGAATGTGAATTCCTTGTTTTCAAAAAAAAAAAATAAATAAATAAAATAAAATAAAATCACACATCAATCGCGGTTGCAATGGGAATGTTTGCTTTAAAGAAAAGGGCCACCTTTGCTCTGGCCTTCCACGTGTTTTGTCCTTCAAATTAGAAGCAAATGCCTGCATTTAGCCACGTTTTAAACATGGCAAAAAATTTGAAATATGTCCAATTTTATAGGCCACCTTTTAAAATAGGTCTAATTTTTAGTGACTTTTTGACTTTTGAAATAGATCCATTTTTTAGTTACTTTGGACCCATTAATATCTATGAAATCTTGAATGATAGTAGTTCGCTTTTTCGTCGGGATGCTTTCCCTCCAAATTATCAACAAAAAATCACTCAAAGTATCGTCTGAAATAAACTAGTCCATGAGTAATGCAACTTATGTCTACATACACGAAACTAAACTCGAATTATGTATGGAACGTTGGGATGAAAATAGGAAGCATCGCATGATTTCTTATGGTGGTAAGAGATGTGTGGTTCACGTAATTAAAATTTATCTCTGCAGGCTGCATCCGAGTTCATGTCCTATATTGTTTTTCCAAAGTCATTAGCAGATACATCCAGTTTCTATATACAAATCAGCAATTGAACCGTTTAGTACAACGGTTAATACTATTTTTTTTGTTCACTTGTAAGTCAAAGGTCTTAGGTTTGATTTTCACCAAAAACGATTTCAAACCAATTTATTTTTTTGCTAAAACGGAGGCGGCCTAGTCATGTACGAACCCAACCGTAGGTATGCCACAACTTATTGCATATTTGTACGTGTACTTCTCAACCATGCCCTGTACTTGATTACAACGGTCACTTTAGACTTCCCAAAGCATAGATACGACTACCAATTTATGTTTAGGGCCGATAAAGCCAGGCCCAAGCCCGTCCTGAGCCCAACAATTTCAAGGCCCGTTTAACTCCGACACAGCAACACCTACCCATATATACCCGAGCCCACATCAAGGCCCAACCTAACATCATTAGAGTAAAGAGAAGATCAATCCTTTAGCATTCATCAACAAAATATTATGGCTCTAATATTGATAGATATTCATGGAAAAAAAGGCGACATTTGGTGCTGCAGCCTGCAGGACTAATCCACCAAACAAACTGAATCCTCTTACAAAAGCCCACATTTCCAAAAAGGAGAAATGATTCGAGGGAAAACGCGAATAACTAAAACTCAGAGAAATCCGAATCAGGCCACCGGCAGCTCTCCGCAGTCGGCAATCACCACCTTCTTTGTAGGACGATCACCTCTGTCTGTCTCTTGAGACTCGATCAGTTTAACAACGTCCAGGCCTTCCACCACTTGCCCAAAAACGACATGCCTGTTGTCTAGCCACGGTGTCTGGAACAGATAATTACATATAAGCATATATCAAGTTACAAAATGCCACCTCTTCTCTAAGCCTACAACCACACAACCACCTTCTGAGAATAAACTAATAAATCTACTTAATTTCCCAGGCTAGGGAATTGCGTTGAACCACGATTAAATGAGGCTTCAAACTTTCATGCCATAGCATTCTTAGCCAAATTGATTCTACGAGTACGATATAGAGAATGAATGACTCTTACCTTGACCGTGCATATGAAGAACTGGCTCCCATTGGTATTGGGCCCTGCATTGGCCATGCTAACAACTCCTGGTCCAGTATGAGATACTGCAAAATCATGCATTCAAGAATTATGACTGCAATGACATTTAAAAATCTATAATTTATAATGTCAAAAGGGGTCGCGACCATATTCAATCTCATATTACATCAGAGACAAAATCTCTTGCCAATAAAAGGCAGTTCATAGATTACGGGAGTTTTCCTTGACGTAAAAATCCAGAAACACATGAATGATTATTGATAAACTACTATGAGGCATGAGAAGTAGAGATCAACTTACACTTGAAGTTCTCATCCTTGAAAGTACGTCCGTAAATGCTTTTACCTCCAGTGCCCTGAAATATGTTTCCAGAATTGTAATTTCACTGTCACGTCCAACCAAAAAATGATAACCTCAAAGAAAAACAAAAAATGAAAACCTTCCAAGTAATTGAAAAAAAAAAGCATGAGCAAATGTTACAAGTAAGCAGTTAATAAGAATATGAAATAGCCAACAAAGATGCAAGGCAAGTCTTTGGAAATGCATATGAGGCTGTTAGATACGATTGAAAGGCCAAATGGGTACTTCAAACAACCCCGGTCTAGCTACTTCCCTAGTTTAGTCAACTGCTTCCAATTCTCAGTAATTCAAGCTCCTTTTTTACTAGCAGGGAGAAAGTAACTTTGCTTACGAGCATTTATCTAACCTACGTACCTTTGAGAACATGAGTCAATACATATGGGAAGAAGTAGCTATAACTAATACTGGATAACCAAAATGGTCAACCAGCCATTTATGTGCAAAGCAAATCCCGAATTAGAAAAGAGACCTATTCAAACTATCATAAGTTCAAAACAGTTCTAGCAAATCCCAAATTGTTTCTCTGTTTTGATATATATTAACTTAACCTTGCAAACGTTGTTTGGTTTAAAGTGAGCCATTATCATTTCCTTATGATTGATAGACTGGTTTTCCAAGTAATATCGAAACCTTATATCAAGCCAATATGGAACTAAAAAACCTATAGCATATATCACTGTTAAATGTAGTCAACCAATGTGGCAATCCATAAAAATAAACCAGAAACTACGAGTTTACAAGACCGGGAAGAGCGCTCACATTGCCTTTATCGAAGTCCCCTCCTTGAATCATGAAATCCTTGATCACACGATGGAACGCGGACCCCTTGAACCCGAAGCCTTTATCACCTAATAAAGACACAATTCATATGAAAGCACATTCAATCAAGATGTCACTTATATTAATGACACTACATAAAGCCATAAACAAAACCCAGGAAAATCGTAAAACCTGTGCAAAGCGCACGGAAATTCTCCACGGTTTGAGGCACATCATCGCCATACAATCCAATCACAATCCTTCCAGCAAGCTTCCCAACTGGGTTCCCAATGCTAATATCAAAATACACCTTATGGGTCACTTTTGATTGCAAAGTTGCTTCCTACAATTACCAAAAGAAACTCAAATTACGTTCTAAGCTTACCGAAAGCAGTAACTTGGAATTTTTACAAAATCTAAAATAAATAAAAAAAAATCGGAGCTTTCGATGTTAACCTCAGCACTGGCGCGGACTGAGCCAGCAAGACTGGTCCTTTTCCGGGAACTAGGGTTCGAAGAGAATGTCAGAGAGGACAAGCGCGACGACCTGGAGAATAAGCTGGAGGACAACGACGCCGTTTTGTTAGGCGACGATGGGATTGTGACCGAAGAACAGGTAGGGGTCAAAACTCTGATCTGACACACGCTGCGAGAAGCCGGAAGGGAACCAATATTTGACTGCGAAAGAAAAAGCACAAAAGAGTAAAACTTTTTACTTAATTTTCCATTTGGGCTTTCTCGGTAATCAAACAGGGGAAGAGAGAAGATGGGTTTTTACCAGGGTGGCCAACGGAGCCGCCATTGAAGCTACCTTGCTGCTGCTGCTGAAGCTTTTCTGTGCAGTGTGGTGATAAGGCTCAATGCGGCTGTTCTAATTTTATGGATGGTATATTCCTTCTTTGTTGCAAAGAAGCGATGAATTCGAGAGTGAAGCCAGAAGGCCACCGACTCACCACCAACACCAATGCAATGGCTCCAAAATTACAAATTTAATGCTCAACTTTTCCAAAAATGCCAATTGGATCCTCTTGATATTTTGAAATTTTCAATTTTGTGCAATTACTAATTTACTAGACAACTATATTGTTTTACAATTTTCACTCAAGCTTATGTTGTGTTGCACAAATTGGCCTCCATACTCTTCATTACCACTCTTTTTCAAGGGCATTTTTGCATGTTATTGGGTACCTGAAACCTGTTATCCAACGTACATTTTATTGCGGCGAAAGATTTATTATGTAGGCTCTTTTTCTTTATAAAAAGCTATAACATTTTTTTCTCTAATACTCGTCAAATTTGTATTCTTTAGAGTAAATGATGGAACTGGCATTGAAAATCGTGTATATATTCTTGTCGCGTGTCACTTTTTGACGGAAAGTAGACAGAAATAGAAATATATAGTAAACTGTAACAGAATTTGAAGCTTTAGGTGATTAATTGCAACAATTTTTTTTTAATTGTTGTTGCATTAAACTGAAAAAAAAAAAAAAAAAAAAAGTTTAAATATATTTTGTGGATTGCTGATAATCGGGCCCAGATTGGGCCGGGTGCGTATCATATATGTGATACTGGAGTAGAGAAACAGTTTATAGCCATAATCCAATGGCAACGGCAGCGAGGGTCACATTTCTTCTGCTTTCACCTCCAGCTGCACTCCCTTTGGTACGACCTAAACGTACGCGACCATTTGCCCACATTTCAACAAAGACCCGGCTCATTGCCTCTGCTTCTGCTGGTGCTTCAATGGCTTCCACTGCCAGTAAACCCAAAATCATAGATTCACATCTGCATGTGTGGGCATCCCCTCAAGAGGTAAGAGTAAAACCCACCAAAGTTTTGAACTGCTCTGCAAGTCTCTACTAATTTTTCGTTGATTTTTCTCAAGTTAATATGGTATTTGGAATTTCGGATTTTGTAGGCTGCGGATAAATACCCTTACTTTCCTGGCCAAGAACCCACTTTGCCTGGAGATGTCGATTTCTTGCTTCAGGTGTGATCATATGACTTTCATCAAGCTGTCTCTTCTGTGTGTATTTCTTGTTTGATCTAATGATATTTTAGTTGAAATTATATGATTGATTTTTTTCCATTCCAGTGTATGGAAGAAGCAGGTGTTGACGGTGCACTGATTGTGCAGCCCATTAATCACAAATTTGATCATTCTTTGGTGACAAGGTCTGTTTCCGTTTGATCTTTCTTCATTCCGATGTCGAAGTTATTCTTCTCCGATTTCTCCTACTATAGTAAGATAGATTACGTGAAATAATGTCGGTCACGTTTACAACAAAATCATGAAGCTTTAGTTGACATGTGAAAAATATCTGTATGGTACTCGATCTTATGTTTCGACTGTAATATCTTGACGGCTCAACTGCCAAATCGCAGCATCAACATTATTACTGTCATGTCTCACAGAATCAAAGTTTGTATCCCAATTCCCACCTAGTGAACTTTGCGTTCCCTGTAGACTTGAATTTCACAACTAATCAACTAAGGCTAATGGTCAGAAGTTCATCACGCCATGTCCGACACTTCTTAGTCATGCTCCATCTAAGTTGTATCTTCCACATTTATAGTTCTTTACAACATATCATTTAAGGTTATAGCCTAAACCTGATTGCTTTTATCTTGGGACAGTGTGTTGAAGAAGTACCCTTCTAAATTTGTCGGTTGTTGTCTAGCAAATCCAGCTGAAGATGGAAGTGGGATTAAGCAGCTTGAAAATCTCATTTTGAAGGTATTTGGATAATTTCCTATAATTTTAATGTTAATTGGGTTTTTCTCTAATGTCTTTAAGGAATTACCTTGACAAAATTTTCTCTTATGCTAGGATAACTATCGTGCTGTTCGCTTCAATCCATATTTGTGGCCTTCTGGTCAACAGGTAATTTAATTATTTTTGGACTTCTTTACATGTTTTAAGATGTACATATCCCGGTGAAACGCCACAGAATATGGAGTAAGTTCCTCCTAAAGTGATAACATTTGAGGGCTTCTGCAGATGACCAATGAAGTAGGAAAGGCAATGTTCTCTAAGGCAGGAGAACTTGGAGTACCAGTTGGTTTCATGTGTATGAAGGTATTCCTTATCCTTTCTTATTATCTTTGGAAAATTGGTTTGCAACTTTTTGTTCTATTACTCTCTGTGTGCGCGCGTCTGTGGGAGAGGGCAGGGAAGAGTTGGATGCTATTGGAGTTTCAGACGTGTTTATTTACTAAAAAAAATGGGTAATTCAGGGCCTCGGTTTGCATATATCAGAAATTGAGGAGCTGTGCACAGAGTTTCCATCAACAGCTGTATTGCTTGATCATTTGGCTTTCTGCAAACCACCAATGTGAGTTTTCCCATAATTTACCTTGCTATAAAGAATCAATGTTTCTGCAGACCATTTGCAACTCTTCTTACTTTAAAGTTCTTTTCTTGCAGAAACGATGAGGAAAAGCTTGCTTTCTCTGCACTTTTACAGCTATCCAGATTCCCACAGGTAAAAAGGCTCCAGAATACCTTCTCGTAGTTACATATCTGCTTACTGAGGAGAGTGAAAACGACTAGATTATCAGATCGGGTATAAAACAGAGTCACGAATCCTTGCAACCACTTTGGCATCTCTGTCCAATGCCTGTTCACTTCTCTTTGTTCCCCAACTTATAGTTCACCTACATTGATAGTCTGATTCTTAAGCATAACGTGATATTTTCGTGGCCAGGTCTATGTAAAATTCAGCGCGCTGTTCCGGGTGTCGAGAATGCCATTTCCATACGAGGATTTATCTCACTCGCTGTCCCAAGTCGTGTCGAGCTTTGGTGCTAACCGCGTCATGTGGGGCAGGTAGCCGTGTTTCACTTGTTTCTTTGGGTTGAAATTTGAAACAAATTGCTTCCTTCTTGATCGGGCAGGAAGCAGATTCTAAAACTAATAGTCTTCATTGCAGTGATTTTCCATTTGTTGTTCCCGAGTGTGGCTATAAAGGGGCCAAAGAAGCCGTTTCTCTCATTGTCAATCGAGTGCCGCTATCATCTTCGGAGTTGGAGTGGATCATGGGAAGAACGGCGTTGCAACTCTTCCGAAATCAATGGCTTTCCTAAGTTCAAAATGTAAGCAAATATGTGGCCGTGAAAGGCCGATAAGTGTGACAGGCCGATGAGTGTGACGGTAATCATACTGATATTATCCCAACTTCGACTACGTTTTAATTTCCATTTATACAGATGTATCATTGGATCGCCATCCTTGAAATCCAGATCGCTGATCAATCGATCTTTATGGACGGGGAGAAAAAATAAAAGAATTTTCACCCGGAGATGCTTTACATCGAGTGTTCTAAACCTATACGAGACTATGATGAAACGGAGATTTACACATAAATTACACAATAAACGGGCCTACTCATCTATGCGATGGATTTCGCCCATCATTATCCGGTTGCTGGTAACTTTAAAACCAAGGAGGGCAGGATCGATTTGCCTCCCTTTCTTTCCCTTCTTTTTGCCACTCCGGTTCCCTTGCATTGCATCTTCTCCCGCCGTTGCATGGGCATCCGTCGGAGCCAGCTTCTTGGTATTACTCTTAAGCATATCCATAAATGAAGCCTCTGACACATCAGAATCGCTGGCGGATGAAGTACGGCGAAATTGCATTTCTTTCTTTGAAGATGACGGCAAGGCATCTGGACCTTGGTTTACTGGATGAACAACGGGGTCTTGCCTCCCCCCTGTAGATTTCAGAAAAAAAGTATTTGTCAATCTGATTGTAATTGAGAATCTTCCCACATTGCCACAAAGTGTTAGAACAACGTAGGTGGAGCTATAAAGTTGTTAACCTTTGATATAAGCAACTAGACAGACCTCAAACCGGTCGTGCTAAGATAAGAAATAACTAGAGAGCTAGATGTACATACCATCTGGAGCGGCACTTGCACTTTTTCCTCGGAAGACTGGATTAGAGATCAGTTCTGACAATCCTTCGTGGGATGCTGAAGCGCTTGAGACAGGAGGTCGTCTCAGCAGAATATTATCTTGAGTTTTGGATGGGGCTGGAACCCTGTGGCATTGTACCGGAAAAAGAAAAGGAATTACTTCTATACATGCTCTGAAGAATTTACATAAGAATTTGGATGATCAAGACAAGGGACCAATAAGAGCAAGGTCATTTATGTACCGATCCCTGGTTGTTTCTTCGGCAAATGAATTACTTCGGCCAATCTTGTCGCTATGAAAGCCTACATTCCCCCATGGGAACAAGCAAAATTTAGAAAACCAAAACTCTTACATGAACAATTTTGAGCATTATGCACTGCGTCAATATTAAAAAGAAGCAACAAGAAATACCTGAAACACCAGATGACGAACGCATGTTAAGGGAATTTGCTGACCTCTCCTCATAATCTGGAGCAGCCAACCCTGCTTGTTCAACCATTCGTTCTTGAGTGTCAAACCCTTGTCCCCTAATGATCCCCTCATTCTTCATCCCACGCTTCCTTCCCTCCAACTCCGAAACCTCTTTACTGATAGAAGACTTACTAATCATGTTAGAATTTGTGTAAATCGGCTGACTCGTAGCATTGATGCCAGCCAAGAATGACTCTCTCTCAACCAATGCTCCAGAATCAGATCTATACACCAACTTTTCATTGCTTTCCATGCTGCTGGCCCGCTCTTCCAGTGGGAGCTCCATATGATTTGAACCGTACGATCCTACTCGAAATGAATTATTTAGACCTGCTTCTTGGTCTGAATGAAGACTGAATGGGTGACTTGAAGAGCTTGAACCAGAGTACATGCCAGATGAAGGCCTTTTATCAGAGAACAAGCCATTGTTGACATTCAATGACTCAGCAGGTTGATGGGCTGATTTTTTATGGAGTAACTCCATCAATAGTCTCTTTGAATGCTCTTCATTCAATCCATCTGACATCCATAAACCTCGATCCTGAGAAGGAATATTGATCTCTGACTCCCTTTTCTGCCGCTCAGCATTAATATGCAACTGCTGAAACCGAGAGTCCATCCAATCATTTTCTAGCTGTTCATTCTTCTCGGGCCAGTGACCCTCAATTGCATCCAAATGTGAAGCATGAAATTGGTTAGGAAGAGGGTGATGAGGATTATGAGAATGGATGCCAGATGAAAATGTTCCCAATTGACCACCCGATGGCATCCGTCCAAGGGAATCCTGCATATCCAAGCCCTGAGCACGAGCCATGGCATTTATAGCATCCAAGTTCATCCCTTGTGCCCCAGGCAGTGACATAGACCGCTCAAACGGATGAGAGCCAGGCTCATAAAACCCTTGCTGAAGTCGATCCTGCAATGAAAGATTACGGTCGAGTTGGCTAAGCTGCTCCTCATGGGATGGCCTCTGTTGCCTCTGATAAAAATCTAAAGGACTAAATCCGGAAGAGTGAGCTCGCTGAGCACCAGCATGGGTCCTCAAAAACTGATTTGATTCATCGGCTGGCCAGACAGAACCACCATGTCTGTCGTCTTCCATCCTCTGTCTCATCCCCGTTGGTAACTGCCTGGCTTGCATCTGATGTTCCAGTGATTGAATTTGTTCATGCTGCGCACGAGACAGTAGATCAAGAAAATCTGCTTGTGGTGGTGACTGACCAAACTTCGCTTGGACAAGCTGCTCCAAAGATGGATCAACATGCCTCGGAAAATGGTGAGACCTTTGTTGGAGTTCATGCATAAGGCGCTGCTCTAATAGAACCTGTTCAAGAACGTTGTTTGCTCTGACAGGATCAACGTGTGGCTGCCTAAGCGCAGGATCATGCATTTGACCACGCAGTAGTTGTTCAAGAAGCACCTGTTGCACTTGGGACTGCTGTTGCTCCTGTAAAAGCTTCTGCTGTTGATGAAACTGCTGCTGTTGCAGTTGCTGATGTTGCTGGAGCTGAGCCTCCCGGTGCTGTTGCATCTTAAGTGCCAAAAGATGATCCAGATCTGCTGAAGAATGGTTGGCTAACTGTTGGTGGATAAGATTCTGACTTGGCAAATGCTCTAATGCTGCATCATTCAAGTGTCCAAAGCTAGACAACATATTCCGCTGTTGGAGCTGCTGCTGTCGAATTTGCTGTGACATAAGCTGCTCCGCTAAATCATAATGACTGGGTTCCTGTTCCATGTGTGCCAATTGACGAGGGGCTACCATGTCTTGATACAGGTTTGAATCAGAGACTGCATTTTTTCTATGAACATCAGACCATGTCTCAGCAAGAATCGCTGTATCAGAAATTCCACTAAATGGAACAGCCCTCCCCATGTTCGAAGGCCTATTGGCTGGCTTGACTTGTTTTGTTTGACCGCCTTCTAACTCAGACCAAAGCAAGCCAAAGGGGTGCAACTTGTCATCATTCTGAATAGGCACACCAGATTCTGTCAGCTCAGTTGGAGAAGGAAGGTGGCCAATAGAATTTTCAATAGAATCATGAATGGTTCCAGAAGATCTTGCAGTAGAATAGCCGGTGGTTCCAGGTATTCCTGGAAACACAATATCTGGAAAATTAAAGATGAAATAGGATGAGATAAGGGAAATACCATCTGTCAGCACAATAAACAGACCAAAAAGAATTTATTATTACAGACAAACCTTCATCTTCTGCATAAAAATCATTAAAGCTTTGAGCCGTTGAATGTGGCAGTTGTAGTGGAGCTTCAGGATCAGAATTTCTAGGTTGAATATGCAGAGTTGAAAGGCTATTTAGATCAGTCAATGGCCGCCGTAAGTCATTCACCACTAATGTAGTCATTTCTGAAACTGGAGCGGAAGAAGGTAAGCTAGACTCTATATTCCCTAAGGAGCCACTTGATTCTTCTATATGAGAAGTTGGATTTACAATATTCCCTTGCGCATCCCAAACTTTCAGATGCGGCATGACCTCCCCCAATTCCATGAAAGGTGTTCCTTCAGGAGTATCCGCCAATCGAACAGGCAAGTCTGTCCCAAAAAACCCTTGTTCAAACCATGAAATAATGTCTACCCCCAAATATGGTCCCTGAACCGCCCCTTGAGGATCAAGGTAATACAAACATAAATCCTCAGGAGGGACATCCCTTTCTAACTCTTTCACCCGAGAATTATTATTCAGATTCTGCTCAGACGAGCCAAAAGCGTAGAGAGTATTTGAACCATCGTGAAGTTTTGATCTTAAGTCAGAAGTTGCAAACTCAATGTCATTCGACAAAGAATGGCCGTATAAAAAAGAATCTTCATTTTTCCTACTGCCACCATCAGTCTCAACGTCACTGCAGATACCATTACTTTTCCGAAATGTTTGAGAAAATCCATCAAGGTCCTTTTCTGCGCTAGATTTGGTTTCCCATTCTTTATGATTGACATCTTTTTCTGCAATAAAATAAGTACTGTTCAGATGTTCCAGTCAACAATACCTGCATACAGTTCAATACAACAGACAACATGCCAAATCAGAAATGAAATGCAACTCACCATCTACCACATTCCTTTGTGCACCAGAATTCCATGAAGTCCCATAATCATCAGCATTTGCAGAATCCTGCAAGATATTGTTCGTCTCTTCGGTGATGCTCGAGGGCAAAATACCCAGAACTCCATCAACAGCTTCCAAGTCTCCGCCACCTAGAGAATGAGTGTTTTACAAATTAGACATCCCAGTTCCAAAAATGGACGCAAATTGGGAACTATTGAGCTGAAAATACCTGTATTGTTTTCAGTTGATCTTCCCTTTCTAAATGAATTGTATATTACCCCGCTACTTGTAATCTTTCCCTTCCATATATCACTGAGGATGGCCTATTAGCAATACACGAACCAATTAAAAACCATAAAAGAATCAGTACATTAAAGAAAAATAATCCACATTCACAAGATGCCCAATCCTATCTCTTACCTCCTCTTCACCATCGGGGGCAAGAAAAGCTAATGGCTCCACAAAGCCCACTTGAGTTGTAGGAGGCGATTCTTCCATCTCATCTGGCATGGTAGCAAAAGATAGATCAAGCTTTCGCTGGCGATAAATGTCAAGAAGCTTTCCCCTTGGGTAGCAAAAACTATCAGCTGAGTGCCTAGGTTTCCCAGGAACACTTTCACTTTTTCCAGAAGGAGCAGAGCCAATAACACCTGCAGATGATCTCCCGACACCAGATGCCCTCCCTCTTCCAATGGTAAATCCCAAATTTGAACCCTCCACCCGTCCTTTTTCAAGTCCAAATCCTGGTGCAGCACGGTAAGCATTTGACCCACCAGAGTGAAGATCCCTATGGCGTGGCCTCCATTTATCCCGAGAATCTGACTCACGCTCAGAAGCTGAACGGTTGTTACCTCCAAGGGATTGATTGTCACTGTTACTGTGAGCATATTCCTTCTCCATATCTGTTTTCTTTTCAGTTCGAGTCTCCTTTTCTTTGTCTTCAGGACCCCACCTTGATGACCATTTGCTATCACGCCGTGCTTCATGTGCAGAAGTACGGCCATCATTCCACCTTTCAGATGCAGGCAGTGCCCTATTGTCAGTTGTGTCTCTCACTGGAACACTGTCGACACGGCGTTCTGGTTTCCTTCGGTCTTTTCTGCCACCAAGCAAGCTAGTTTCTCTTTCCTCTTCACGCCAGCGACGGCTACTTTCACTTTCAGTGGCAGGCCGCCTCCAATCTTTTTTGTCATCAGATCCTTCCAAACGCCAACCTTCCTTCTGGTTGCTATCAGTAGAGTTTCCAAGGGAACTTGGGCCGCGCATTTCCTGTAATATACAGCAAATTTAATGACTAGTCAGCTAAGTTGTGAATTTCCAAGTAATCCAGGTTTAAATGGCAGTAGATTGATTATATGTTGAGTTTCCACTATATGCAGATAAAATCAGAGTATGAAGAAAGCAGCTGCACAATTCCAAGTACAAAGTCTTTTTTTTTTCGGTAACAAGTACAAAGTCTTTCAATACGTCTAGAGGATTGAATTAACTACAACTCATCCTGATTCAGGGAGATAACAGAAGAACATATACCCAAAAAAAAGTCAATTAACACTAAAAGAAATTCAATCTCTAGAACACATACCAACTTAGACTCACTGGGTTTGGCATAAAGCCACTGGGGGGACAAAGGTATGCTCTCTGAGGCAGCTGGATCTGCAAAATTTATAAATTAGCAATACAAAATCAGATGAAAGTAAGACAAAACAAACAACAAATAGGGGAAGCAAAATATATTACTTAATCGACTCTACAGCTCATGAAATTAATGCTAAAAACTTGAACAAAGCTCACCTTTCAAGTCATCAGATGACCCAATAAGCACCTTTTCTTCATCATTTCCTCCAGAGGCTTCAACTGCCAAAACACGAACACATATTAACACACAAATCTATGTTTATGCTCTCATTACAAAGCCACTCAATGTTCCACACTAATCCAGTAATAAAGTCGCTGACCCCGTAACACTAGATGAACCATAAGGGAACTGTACATTTTTGTTAACTGCAAATAAAGATATAATAGTGGAACTGCAATTCAAATAGTGTTTCTGTCGAGGAGAGAACTATAGCAGCCATTAGTGAACTCCAACAAAAAAAATAAAAACTGTGAGAGCTTAATAATAGTAACCACTTGAACTACTACGAATACTAACTCCCTAGATTTGCTTTTTCATTGCACACCAGAATAAATCTCAAGAATTCTTGACATCCATGATTGCACTACAGTTGATCAGAAAAATATAAGTTCTATCTTTCATTGATTCAACGAAAAAATTTAAGCGTAAAAACTTTGTCATCGAAAGAGGCGATAACAATCAACTATTGAATATTTGATAAATAAATTTAAAAACAAATTGGAGCCTAATCTAAGGACTGTAGCACGTGCAAATTTCTTTACTTGATCTTAAAACATAAAGATCAATGAAATAAAGAACACAGAATCAATAGGATAATTCAATACGGCGATAGTAAAAACACGAAGGATTACAATACATTAGTGTTGAACGAGTTCGAATGCTAAAATTACAACAAAAAAATGAGAGAAGAAAAACTGATTTGAACAAAATCCAATACACGAAACATTCAACTAAAACGTAAAAATTCGAATAGCTCAAGATGCAGGAAGCCGAAATTAAGGAAGCTGATGCCGAGGGAAATCGAAAATGAACTGGTCCAATATATACTTAAACGCTCCAGATCAGTAACCACTCACCTCACATTAGCTTCACATCGATCAAATCCAATGAATACCCAAATGGAAAAAAAATTGAATTGCTAAAGAAATAAAATTGCAGAAGAAAACTGAAACGGCGGAAGTACCTTTGGAGGTCCAGGACTGATCGGAGGGTTTGGAGGAGAGGAGATCGTCGGGCAGATCGAGCTTGCCCTCCGCCATCGAAAAGTGAGGAAGTTGGAGGGAGGGGGAGAGGAGATCGAGAGAAGGAGAAGAAGCGCGCAGTGGATTGGAGCTCCAATAGAGAGAGAGGGAGATTGTGAGTTCAGGATTGAATTTTTGAAATTCAGAGAATCTAGGGTTTCGCAGAAGAGTTTTGTACAACGACACTGAGAGCGGAGAGAGAGAGAGGAGAGAGAGAGAGAGGTGAGAGAAGAAAAGGGTGAGTGTTTTGGGTGGTAGTCAGAACAGCCAAATCAACTAATCAAGTAAACGATTTCAGGTTGCTTGTTTAGTAGAATAAATAATAGTTTATTTAAAATTAAACAATGTTTTGAATTACATAATAAAAAAATTTAACGAAAAACTTCCGACATTGTTTACTTAAACGAACAATCATATTATTACACTAAAATATCAATTCTAGTACTATTAGTTTTTCTTAAATATAATATTAAATATTTCTCTTTTGGATTTTCAGCTTCTGGGGAAAAGGCGCAAAAGAAAGGTTCCATGACAAAACTGTCAAAAAGCCAACGAATTTTTTATTTTTTATTTATTTTTTGCTTTTGCGTTTAATGGCCGTCAAGTCAACTGCGAAATGGACTGAAACGCAGTGTCGTCGCAAAGTGAATACGTTGGGCTTGGTTCGAGTCTTGCATTCTATCCATCCCAAAACTAACCACAACACGGCCCATGAGTTATAATTTTGTTTTTATTTTTATTTATACAAACGAAATTTTTTTTTTTTTTTTTTTTTTTTTTTTAAGTAAACGATATTATCCACTTAGACAAAGTAGATATATGTTTTTTAGGTACAAAATAAACCAACTTTTTTTAATTTTTGATCAAATAGACGAATCAAATGATAAAAACACATGAGAATGAGAGCGTTGAGAACGGAAGCCCAACCAACTTACAAAATCAATGTCGCTAAAACACCAAAAGCATCAAATTTCATCAATCAAATAATTCAGTTTCCGAATGCTTTACAACAAAAGCCAAAATGTAAATAGGAATCCTTGCATTCTTAACTTGGTACTTGGACACGACATCTGTAGTCGCAGCAGCATGCCTTCTTCCGCACAGCGCCTTCTTCCTCTCTGCACACCCTCGCATTTCCGTGTGGAACAGTTTCGATGTGGGCTTCGGCTGCCGATTCCAATTCTGAAGACTGCAAATTCGGAGTCTCATCCGAATTTACAGGGGATTCGGATTGCAATTCTAGGTTTTGGTCGATTTGGGGACTTTCAGCAACAGCGCTGTCCACTCTCTCCTGCAAAGCAATCGCCTTTTTTATCACGGCCCTCCTGAGATCCCTAACTCCAGAATCGACGCCCTTCACCGAATCCAACTTCAACAGCAAGTTCATCAGCGTCTCGTTCACCCTCAGCCGCTCCTTGGCGTCCCTCCTTATCAATTCCACCGCCTCTCGCTTCGAAATCCGCTTCTCGATCTCAACGACCTCGACTCTGATGGCGGCGATCTTCCTCACGCTTTTCCTCACCAGAAATCCTCTGAACGCCTTCTGGATTTTCAGCGCGGAATCCGACCGGCTGCGCTCCGACCCGACGTAGTGGACCGGGATTGAGACTACCTTCGGCGACGGTTCCGCTCGGCGCTGGACCGGGACTTGCCTCGCGTTCTGATGTTGTGACGCGAAATTGGTCTGCGGGTACTGATGTTGCGGGGCGAAATTGTGCCAATGCCTTCTTAAGAATGGATCCATGGATGACGAGAATCTCGAAACCTTGAATGAAAACGACGACGATTTGACTGTTTTGACGAACAAAATTAATCGGGAAACTATTCTAATTTGATGATTGAGAAAAGAAGGGTTTGGGATATTTATATAGAAAAGGGCAAATTTGATCGAGGAAGGGCGCGAAAGTTCCAGAAGTTTCAAGTAATAAACTTGGCATGCTGACGTATATTTGTATAAAGTGTGGGAAACGCTCCCTTTTTTTGAATATGCTAACATTTCGGTACACCATCTATCATATTTGAAAATATAAAAAAATTTAATTAATTGCACTATGATATTTAGTGTACGTGTACCCGACATATTGAATATAATTAAAAAAAACAAGAGCAGTAAATCCAAGAAAATAAAAATATGTATTTTTAGATCAAACAAAGGAATTCGCAAATAAAAGAGCTAAATCTAGAGTGAATGGTGAGTTAGTTACCATTCTGCACACTTTGTTTGGCCTCTTGCCTACCCTTATTTTTATTTATTTTATTACCTATTAAACTGACAAATCAAAGAAGAATCAACGGTCAAAATTAAAAGGACCATACAGAACATAGAAAAATGTCTAATTGGATAAATAGTTCTCTTGGTGATAGGGCATTTGGAAAATAGCTCCCGTGGTGGTAAAAAAAAAAAAAAAAAATCGGATTTAAACCCTTGTAGTGAATTCCGTTAAGATTTAAACCTAAAAAACAAATTTCCGTTATCTTTGTGTTAACCCCAAAATCAAAACTTCATATTGCTGTGAATTTATGCACTCCCTTGATTGTGGCTCAATATAAATGCTTCAATGATTAATCTAATCAAGTAAAAATGTAATTCTATATTGATCCCTTGTGTTTTCTTTATTCCTAAATTGATTTCGTGCATGTTTTGGAGAGGAAGGAGGCTCTGCATCAGTTTGTAAGGCCCTCCTTGTCTCTATGATCTCCTCATTTCTGTGTTCTTTCTCATGATGTGAGATGACATTGAACAACCAGTAAGGCCCTCCTCCTCGGAAAAATAGGCGCAATGATTACTTGATTGAATTTGAAGATTCTTTCATCCATGAGTGAATTTCCAGTGAGCCACAAACAGGAGAAGGAACACCAGCGAAGGAGGAACACGATGAAAATGCACGAAAGTAACAACTGATGAAGGGGAACAAAACCTAACGGCACATAATGACTTAAACATAGCGAAATGCAGGAAAATGCATGAAGCCCAAATGAAGAGATTCATGATCCTAACCCCTTTCAAAAAAAAGAAACTTAACGGAAAAACTAAACGAAAATTTTGATTTTGGGTTTAATTCCTAACGAACTTCACCACAAGGGTTTAAATCCGAATTTTTTTATCACATGCTATCTTCTGAATATCCTATCACCACGAGTATTAGCTACATTGTAATGTTTGGAAATTGAAAGAAAATCAAGAACAAAGCTGAAGAGAGAAAGATCAACACAGAGAGTTTTACAGAGAGATAGATTTAGAGAGAGAAATATGCTTTTGTATTGATTGATGGAATGAAGGTTACACAACTGTTTTTATAAGGGAGAGCCTAACTACTCTAACCAACTTACTAACTGTATTGCTAACTTGTATACTTAATACTCCCCCTCAATCTCAACTGGGGAAACCCAGTTTGAGATTGGAAGAACATCTACAATCACTGAACACAATGTTGAACCATCTGCAATCTTGCAATCCCACACCAAAGTCTCATGAGCAACTCTTTTGACACACCAAATTCCATCATGTTTACCGACAAACTGGACTCCATCAATCAGCTTTTCAACAGGACATTTGAGAGGCTCATCAGCAGAAGGGGGTTCACCCTTCACAACTTTAGTAGTATCAATTCTTAGTACACGCTTTCCAAACCCAACCACCAAAACCTCTTGTTTATGACAGTGCCAACAAACTCGTGGATGAACAGCTTCCCCCTCTCCAACTATTTGAATAGCAATCACAACCTTTCCAGTGATTTGTGGCGTACCTTCTTCATCTGGACCTTTTGAAATTTTCCATACAAAGAGTCGTCCATCTACACTAACACTAGCCAAAAGGTGAACATCCTCGGCAAAGAAAGCCATGTCTGTGACCCTCTGTGTATGAGCTCGAAACAAAGATCTCAATGCAGTGTGTATATTCAACACCCGAATGTTGCCCTGCTACAATCCATAGCATATATACGACTTATTAACCGCAATTTGGCGGCCAAGCACAAGCTGAGGATCCGAACCATACTTGGTTATGGGTGTAACTTCGAGCTGAGGTTGAACCTCACCCTGCAACCTAACGTCCACATCGTAAACCACGTTATTGCCAACCAAATGCAGGCCTTTCGGTAGCTTATTGCTGGGCATTCGAATCCATCTGCCTCTCGCAGGAGTTTCAATCGAAGAACAGCTTCTTATAAAATTGTAACACACCCTCAGGCCGGTTATAACAACTTCTTGCGGGATTACCCTTCGTGGGATTTACCGTCAACAACTTCATTTAACATTGGCTTCGGCCTTTAAACAAAAAAATAACAAACTATAGTGTGGCATCGGCCTTAACTATAGCACCACGAGATCGCCCTTTGTGGATTTTACCAAAATACAACTACTCTTAACAGTGGCATCGGCCTTCACAATTTCAACAACAGAAAATCAACATCTAGGTAGGATTACCCTTCGTGGGATTTACCTACTTACATCACGGAATTACCCTTCGTGGGATTTACCGTTTACAACTTCATCAAACTTCATCGTATAACCGGACTTACTGTAGATTCATGCTAACAATTGAGTTGGTTAGACTCGACATTATAGGCTGTAATAAGGAAAATACTGCACCACTCCTCAGTTAGCTGCTGAACAATCTTCTTAGACATTACATTTCTGAATTTTGACACAAACCATAATCGGAACAACCACAAAATTGTACATACCAGAATGCAAGAATTCAAACGCATTTTTCCAAATATATCAAGAGTTGCAGAAAGATCAAACCCAATAACTTTGCAGACTATCAGTGAAGCAGAGAAAGAACTTCTCGAAAATTCTGAGCTTGGCATTTCGTCAAACACTTGGGCTGCAAATAGGTCTAAACATTCTTCCATACCAGAGAACAGAGCACATATCAAAATTGAAATTTTATATATGAACCATGGATGGCGAGAGGTCCGTGAGCTCTGCATCCCCATTCACCCATCAAATCTTTCAAGAAATTAAGAGAGAGAGAAAACCAGAAATCTCTATCGTTCTGGAACCCGAAAATATGAAGAAATACGCGAAGATGGTGGTGAAAGACGGAGAGAAGTCTCTGTGAGATTAATGCTTCTTGCATTGCGTAATCAACCCTTTAAGTCGATAGAGTTTTGGGAAAGAAAATTTTCTGGGAAAATGTCAGATTCCGGTGAACAAGGGGCAACAATGTCCGGGCAAGTTTCCGATTCCGATGAACAAACAGCACCAAGTTCTGCGCAATTGCCAGATTCCAGCGGAGAAGAAGCACAAGATTCTGGGGAAGCAGCACCAAATTCTGAAAGCCCAGATCCCAGCGAAGCAGCAGAAGATTCTGAGGAAAACACCGAATCCAGCGAGCCAGTACCACCAACTCCTATGAATACACCGGCTTCCAGTGTAGGAGAAACCGCAGGGGAAAAGAATTTTGATTTCGAGGATGTAAGAGCAGCACTTGCTGAGACTATTCCGGGTTTCGTTGGACAACAAGCACACCAAGACTCTGTCCGATTTGTATCTGGTGACAAATTTTCGGATTTCGGAACACCCTCAACATCTTGTTCTCTGAGGATTCAGCCCATGCTAAGAATCAGATTCAAGAAAACCCGGAACGAAAGTATTTCTGGCATTCGAAGCAAGAAACGGAGAAAGAACCCAGGAACAATCACAGAAGCACCGAAAATCTAATGAAAATTTGGAAAGAAATTAAGCTATATACAGATGAAAACTAATAGGAAATGGAACCACCAAAATCAATGGCGTGAGCCTAGTGGCTCTGATACCATATTAGCTACATTGTAATGTTTGGAAATTGAAAGAAAATCAAGAAGAAAGCTGAAGAGAAGAAAGATCAACACAGAGAGATAGATTTAGAGAGAGAAATATGCTTTTTGTATTGATTGATGGAATGAAGGTTACACAACTGTTTTTATAAGGGAGAGCCTAACTACTCTAACCAACTTACTAACTGTATTGCTAACTTGTATACTTAATAACGAGGACCATTTATCCAATTAGGCCTAAAAAAATGCATAAATCAGTTCTCGTGTTACAAACCTGTGTTTCTCTTTTCAAATGCCAATTTTATTCAATCAACGGGCACTTACAACACTTCAAAGTTTCAAACTTATTTCCCTGATGGACAAACTGATATCGTTTATGGCATTCGTGTCTCTCGTTTCTCTTCCCTCCTATGTTCAATAAACCGACATCTCCTACTTCTAGCATAGCAGCATACTGTCGTGAAGTGACCTCTTTATCCATTGCCTCGCGTGTGGCGTATCTTGAGCGTTGAGCCTAAAGAAAGTTCATTCTACTTGGTATTTTGATCCCTGCCCGCTTCAGAATTTCTGCGGAAGCTTGCTTTGCCTTTGCAAGAACTTCTTCCTGTCCAGTTATAATTGGCACCCGTCAGTAAACAATGAAATTTTAGGGCCTGGCTATCTGCTATTAGTCTTCATATGTATGTCTAACAAGCGAAAAGTATGACAGAATACCTCATCCACGTTCAAAATCTTCTTATCCTTCATAATCCACAGACCATTGCACATTACAGAGACTACATTTTCGGTTCGCATACTGTACACAAGGCTGGAAATGCTGCATTGTAGCAAAAGGAAAAGATTAATCTACCTGAATAAATGGCTACGTTGCAGACAAACAACATGAATTTTGTTTTTTTTTTTTTTTAATACAGATTAGATTGGAACCAGATCCGCTGAAAAGCCAAAAACTGCCTTAGATAATCATGGTTCCAACAAATTGCCATACATTTACAAATCAATATCTATGCCACTGCTCATGGAAACTGTCAAAAAAGAAGATCAGCATGACTTTTCATAACAAAATGTGGCATGGATACAGATGTAGTTGATCCTTCTTCATATTTAAAGTTTAAGGGTGTTTGATTGAAATAAAATTACTGCATATGATTCCTTCGGGGATGGTTCTTACCTGTCATGGAGAGGAACCATGGTCCAAGAGGAAGGATTGATAACAACCAAGTCAGCCTGCCAAATCATGGGAGAAGGAAGCTAATCAGCCTCGTGTTTAAAATTCGTTGAGATATGCACAAATGTGTATGGTATGCCTTTACTTAAAGAGAACGCTGTATAAGAGATGAAGCAGATTGACAAGATAAACTAATTGGAGCTAGCCAAAAGTCCAACCTTTTTCCCGACCTCAAGGGATCCTATTTCATTATCCCAAAGTACTGATTTTGCACCATTTATGGTCGCCAACTCAAGAACTGTTTCAGCAGGAAGAGCAGTAGGATCAGTAGTTCCATTTGTATGAACTTGCCGTCCTTTGTTAATCAGAGAAGCCAGGTACATCTCATCAACTGCAAGGAAGTAAACTATCCATAAATTTCGAGGTCCAACCATCAATTTTTCAATGTGCAAACCCCCAAATAAGGAAAAAATGCAAGAGTGGGCGATCAGAATTTCCACCTATGCTCATTCTATTATTCGAGGGTGCCCCATCTGTTCCCAAAGAGACACAGATGCCAGCATCCAGCATCTCTCTAATAGGTGCAAATCCAAGCATTCGCATCGCAGCAGCAGGGCAATGAGAAACTTTGACCCCGCCCCTTGAAAGACAATCAATCTGAAAATACAGAATAACGGCTCCATACCAACTAACAAGTTTTGAACCACCAAAGTTATTGATGAACAAGTAATACAATAACATACATAACACTCCAGAGGCTAAAAAACTCATGATATCTTACTATTAAACACACACAGCTGCATCTACTCCTATTCTGTATATAAAATAGCACGAGCAAGAAAAACTGCAACTCACCTGAGAAGGATTAACCCAAACTGTGTGGGCAGCTAGCAAATTGTTCTGGAGAAACTGTATACTCTCCAAGTGTGTTACCGTTCCATGGTCAACTTTTCGCGTCTCTGTCACAAATTGATTCTCGTATGCTATCTCTGCAACATGCTAAACAATTGAAAACTTGAACTAAATCTATGTTAAACTTCAAAATATCTTTGAACAAGTCCAAAATGCTGGTAGAGTTAGTTGAGTATTATACCATGTGGATTCCAGTTTTCAGTTCCTTGGCAGTGTCTCTTGTTGCAAGCAGCAAATCATCAGTTGCATTCATAATCTGCCTAATTCCTAGCCACACTCTGATGCGCCCGTTTCCGGTGTTATGGTGCTTCTTGTAAAGCTCTTTCTGAGACTGTCCTTAAATGTGTGCGAGCAGTGAGTGTGTGAGGACATTAACTTAACAAAACCAACAAAAAAGTATGAAAGAGCTTAGAACTCAAGTTACCTGGATGCAATCACCGGCGCTCCGGCCTGCCCAAGACTTGGGCAGGCCATCACCTGAGTCCATGGTGGACTCAGCCAAACACGCCCTTAACCCCAGCAACTCCACCGCCCTCGCCATTCCCGACACATGTTGCCCTCCTGCTTCAGCAAAGCAAGTTACCTGTACAAACAAAAAACCAATTCCGCATACGTGGATTAGGCCAGTTGCTCGCCCGAGTTCAAATCCTCCTCGCTTATAAATTAAAATAATTTAGAATATCGCCTAGTTAGAAAGAAAAAACTTACACCAGAGTGGATGAGCTCTATGCCACAAAGCAAGGTGGAAATGTATGAATCTTCCTCGCTCATGTTGGACTCGTAGGGCCAAATCCGATCGTGCAGCCACGTCATCAAATCCACATCATCTGCGATCCCTCTTCCCAGTTGCTGCGACGTGTGCACGTGCGTATTGATCAGTCCTATTATTTTCAACATTTCCAATTATTCCCGTCTAACATTGCTTTTCAAAACTTGGAAGTAAATAAATAAGCAGAGAAATTGGGGATCGGAGAGTGGAGCAGCTGACCAGGGAGGACGATTTGGCCGTTGAGATCGACAACCCGGTGGGCGAGAGCGGAGAACTGGCGGAGTATATCGGAAGACTGACCGACGGCTCTGATCGCGTCTCGCTCGATGACGATCCCGCCGTTGCGGAAGACGTGGCTGTCGGAATCCATAGTGACGATGGTAGCGTTGTGAAGTATAGTCACTGCTGAGGCGGAGTTGGTCGGAGACGACATCGTTTTCTCAATCTTCCGTCGCTTTTGAATTCGTTGAATCTGATCAGTAATCTGAAGGTCTGCAACTTCGGAAAGGAATTGGATAAAGATAAATTTTTTTATTCCTCAATAAACACGTTCTTGAATCGATTTATTTATTAATGAATTGGATGTCAGCCGTTAGCTTGTTGCTGGCTGGCGGGGTTTTCAGTTGGATGCTGTTACTGTTACTGTTAGACTATCTAGTTTGTTTGTTTGTTTGTTTTTTTTATTTTTTATTTTTATTTTATTTTTATTTTTATGAAAGGTAAAATTTGTTGATAACAAACATAAACAAAAGCCCATAAACACAACAAAACCGAACAAAAGATGGGCCTCCAAGACAACAACCAAACAACCGAACCCGAGGGTCATGCCCAAAAAGGAAAAGCACATAAACTATATGAACTAAACCCTAGCCTCTTGGTACCCCCGTCGTGGCCAAAGTACTCCATGGTGACCACAAGCCAGCTTCCCAACCAACATCGGAGATGAAATCCAACCAAGCCCCAACAAAAAGAGAAGACGCCGTCCTTAATCAAGCTCCACAAAGAATCAATTTGTCGCCACCAATGGTAGAAAACATGGGAGGAAGTCAGTGGATCCACTGACAACAGTGTCGAGACCAACACATGGGTGGAAGGTGGTGGTGCGAACACCCGAGCAGAAGATCTACACACCTTCTGATAAAGCCGTTGAAAACGGTGGAACAAGGTGGAAGCAGATCGGTTCAAAAGTGAAATCGAGAGAGGCCGAACCAAGTGGGAGAGAAAGAAGAAGAAAATAGTGAACGCATGGAGAAAGGCAGTGGGGGGAAGAAGATAAGGGAGATCGGAAAAAGAAATTTTATGATCGGAGCAAGGAAGGGTTAAAATGGAAGAACAAGGGTTGGGAAACAGAGGGGAAAACCAGGAAAAGCAGAAGAATAATGGGTTGCCACCGACCTTCACCTCGTCAGCACTGTTTAGTGATATTTTATTTGTAAGTGCATGATATTGGGTTTGATTTTTATAATAAAGTTTCAACGTTGTTTAATTATTATACTAGCCTAACTATCACGGGATAGCCAGTGGTTGGGATAAATTTTAGGTCCGTATTCTACTGTTACGTTTGGGTTTGATTTCAAGTGCTGATGAATCACACGATGATGATTAATAAGAGATTGGGCTCCTAAAAAGATGAACTGCCGTGGTGGAAAAAAAAAAAAAATTATTGTACTAGCCCAAGCCCACACACATACGCGCATGACAATTGGCCTTTCTATATTAGAGTATGTTTTTTCAATTTTTATTTAAATTACTAATTTATATTTTTATTAAAAAAAAAAGAAATGAAATGAAGCAAAAACATAAAGTCACCCCTGTGAGAGTTTTTAATTTTTTCATAAAGTTTTAAAATTAAAATGTGGTGAATTACTTTATCTCTTTTTGGTTCAATTGTAATTTTTTTTTTAATTTTCAAAGAACAATATATGGTATTTTGAATGTCTCACCATTTAGGGTGCTTTCTTTATTTATATAGATAAGTTGATAACAACTCTTCATATGTCATTATTTAAAACAAAATCATCATTTTTTCTTCCAATAAACTAGGGAGACCACATAATTATCATATAGTATACAATCTCATGTTGCAAGTGATTTATACCAACATTTAATGAGAGAAATTCATTATTAGCGTGACATGTACATATCACTTACTATTAATGCGCAAAATTTGCATGCCAAACCCAGATGAATCCATGTGGACACTAACAGACTATAAACCCAACAATCGAAAAAATATAACCCTTGATGGGCTTTTGGATATGTACTGGATTAAAATGAACAAAAATATAAGTGGTTCACTTCATAAAACTTGTGTTACATTCACTGTGTTGCTTGAATTTTGTTGATTAGAAGACTAAAAATAGCGGTCAGCTAATACATCAATTTCACTCTCTCAAATTGTCCAACCCCAACATTGGGGGTTCTCACTCCTTTATATAGACCTCCTGTAAAACCCATTTATTGGGTCCTTCCCACTGAGTATTTATGTGCCACTCCACATAGACTAGCTAGCTAACACCATTTTACCTGTCAACCCGACATTCGGGCATGAAGTGACTGGTGTCCAGTCGAATGCATGTCGGCCCAAAATAAAGTAGCCTATTTCCCCTAATCGGCCTTGGTTACTTAACCCAATCTCCCCGAATGTCGCTCCGACCCACTTCGTGTCCCATCCTTGGTCTTCATTGTTGTTTACAAGTCGCCGTGTGGCTTGAATGTCATCTTAGTGGACATTTCTCTTGAAATCCGTATCGTAATATTGTCAGTCAGCCCACGTGCTCAAGTTGGCGGCCACTCAACGTTCAACCCAATAGGTCAGTGTTCATCGTGCGCGAACACGCCCTTTTACAAGTTTCCTAGCCCTTGGGTTTCTTTTTAGGGCTTTTTCCCAATCTGGTACTTATCTTTGGGCCTAAAAGTGGTTAATGTTAAAACTTACCACATCAGATATTGTACACCAATGTAGTTTAAAAGTATGGTCTCCCTCACATTTTATTTTTTGTTAATGACGTTTTATCATTCTTCCCCTTGATAATGATCCTATCTTCTTCCTTCTTCTTTTTTTTAACTCAAAGTGATACTATTTTGTTACATCAAATGTAGTTCGGTGCAATTGGAAACTACTAGACTCGCCACCTCCTCGTCAAACCACAAATTACAATCTTCGAATTATATCAGAAATAAAAGCAAGAGGCTCTTCAAATCGTCTTTTATAATCTTATGTGAAGTACAAATCGAGCAAGGCGATGTGAAACATTGTTGGCGTGCTGATGCACGCATGTAAAGCCATCTCCGGTGATTTAAAGTAACACTACATTCCCGTCCTCAATAATATGTCCGTAGAAGGACAAAAAGGGGCCCGAACTATACAAAGCAGAAACAATGTAGAGAGAATCACTTCAAAAAGATATATTAGAAAACTCCAAAGTTACCATCTAAATCACCACGTGCTCTACATCTTGTAACATAGTATCTAAGAAAGACCCATTTTCATCTTGCTTGCAAAGCTGTTGAAATGAAATTTTGAGCTGAGTTACATAATGTGTCAGTCATAATTCAACGTCAAACTCGTTATTTATATTTATGATATTCCGTTTACAATTTACAAGCGAAAATAAATGAGAAATGGTTTTCAAACACCTTTTTTCTTCTCTTACACTAAACTTTTTATGTATTCAATCTAAAAACAAAAGGTTATCAAATATGTGTAAAGAGAGAAATAAAGTGTGAGCAAAATGACACCACAAATAAATGTAGATAGCGCTAAAAAGACTAAAGTACCTTATCCCAAGTCAATGTTGTTTGGGTTAGTGGAGTGGGATGAAGGACCTAATCCTAAGACCATCTCCAACGGTTGGGCTAAAAGCTAAATTTTTTAGTCCGAAAAATTTAGTTTTTAGCCTAGAAACAGCTTTTCTGCTTCAACCATTCTAGCCTAAAATTTTAGTCCAGGATTATTAAAGAATGAACTTAGGCTATTTTTTTTTGGTAAATTAATTTTTTTTTTAAATAAATATGTAGACTATCGTAAATTAATTTTATGAACATTTTAATCTAAAAAAATTTAAATTCCGATAAATATTGGGTGGAGTCCACTCCGATTTTTGGGCTAAATTTTGGGGGAAATTTGGCATTGGTTTAGCATTTAACATTTAACCCAAAATTTCCCCTTTGGTTGGAGTGAGTTTGGGGGGAAATTTTGGGGAGTAATTCAGCTTTTAGCCCACCATTGAAGTTGGTCTAAGAGGCCCATACAAGGTAATAATAAACAGCCTTTAGATGACCAATAGAGGTGGCTTCACAGCAAAATCAGCTTTCCGTAAAATATGAGAGAAGCTTGAAAAGAATTCCACTCCGGCCTTGGCCTCGAATGCAGTCAATAACGAGCATTCAAACTTTGCATGGAAGTAGTCAGTTTCTCATATCTTTCGATTCCAATAGCTCTGAAAAAACCAAAAAAAAGAAAAAGAAAATCTTGGATGCATTGCACATACAAGTTTTAGGTGATGGTGAAACATCCAAACATATCGATATCAATTTAGTTGACGGATGTAACACTCCCTTTCCCGTAGGGCATTAAAATTTCAAAATGTCAATGCTCTGCAAGCAAAGGAATATATTTAAAAAAAAAAAAAAAACACTAGTTGTCTATTGTTTTGGTCTGAAAAATTAGTAAATTAATTAAAATGTATTTGTTATATGAATTTTGACGGAAAAACAAAAGCATGATTGAAGTCTAGTTGTATTAAAAAACCGAGTCTATAACAATTCCAATGACTGACGAACTCCAAATAAATATTATATGAAAACCAAATTAACAAAATGAGGACGAAATTAAAAACTCCAATGTCAACTTTGATGAAAATGGAATGCGTGGTGGTAGTGGCCTAATGGCTAATGTCAACTGTGAAAGGTCCATATATTGCTAAATTAACTAACCAGCTATTATTGCTGATTAAGAATTCATAAGACAAGCTTTTATCCAACTAAATTAAAATCAAGCGTATAATTCATATTAAACAAAGATTTAAAGCTTGTTAATTTATAAGAAAAGCTTCAAATTTAACATTTGCAGCATTCATTTAGCGAAGAGTTCCTTAAAAAAAAAAAAAAGAAGGAGACAACAAAGGGAGATTTAAACTCAAATACCGAAGAGAAGAGATGCTACTTTAGCCGACTTGCGTCAAAGTGCAAGTCTACAATGAAGTTATGTATACTTCATTTGTATCCTCTCATGCATTCATCATTCGTTTCACCAATCCAAAACAAACTACAAAAAACTAACAAAGATAGTGTGCAGTCAGGAAAAACGGCAGCTACTTCCTTTCCAGTACAGTCCCGACTGCTGCTTCACAAACTAATAAACATGGTTTAATATTTCGACCATACAAATAGTATTTCGATGAAAGGGAAAAAAAAAAACAACGGTTTAGTATTAATTACATTAGATATGCTGTTTTGTTGCTAAATTACGTGATCAAATGTGTTTAGGTATAGTCTCATGACTATCAGCCAAAGAAGATAATGAAATGTTACTATCAGCCAGGCCACCCATATATCTACCGACCTTAAACCGTTATGCTTAACGGTCTGCTTAGGTGGCTAATCAAATTTAAAAACAGCCTTTTGTTTTCGGATTACATAGTTGAAATTAATTAATCATTTGGACTGCAAATGCTTATGCATATTCGCCCCTTGAATTATTCTTTTTGGGGTCAATTTTCGCCCCTTAGTTTGTTTGCAAGTTGCTACCAACCTTATCAAGAAATATTGAAATTTATATCGTATTCTTACTAAAATATAAATTCCAGCCTTATTTTACAAGATATATTACGTACCCATGAACATGATGCATGGTTTGTACTTCTAGTGATCATTGCAAATAACAATTTGTAAGCTTAGTTGTTTGTAGATTTTAGCCTGCCAAAGAGAGTACTTGCTGATTAAAAGCTAAGAGCAACTAATTAAGCAGGTGACCGAGAAGAGATTTAATTAATAGATATTCAAAATACAAAACATAACAAAAGATTTATATATTACAAAGATAGCTTGAATTTCTTTCATCTCCTTATTCTCTCCGATCCTAATATTTAACAATTAAAGTTATTGACATATTGCAAGACTCAAGAAATCTAAAATCCCACAAATTATACATCAAACCCATATATTTTATCATCAACCAAGCAAGCTATCAGTTTTGTAAAGTGCTAAATATGCATTATAACTAGAACTGGTTGATGGCAACCATCCTAGACGGGGTAAGATGATGGTATGAGCCATAACGCTTAGCCAAGCCACACCCTTGAGGAACCTTTTGGTCACCACAATCGTCCATTTCCATCAAAACCTTGTAGAATATCTCAACATTACAAGGAAGCACAAGAGGACCTCGACTGTCATACCCAAATTCAGACTCGGCTTCTTCAAGTAGCATCTTGAAGAGAGGATGGTTTGCGTGTTCCGTTTTGACCACAAACCTTTGCTTTTGGGAACCGACATAGACTGTAAAGCAGCCTTCAGGAGCCACTTGGCGCTTGCTCGCACGCTTTTTCTCAGGTATCCCGAGGTTGATGTTCGGGCATGACTTGCTCTTGGTGGTCAGAGCAGGCACCATTCCATGAATATTAGTAGGACGACCCCGGCCTATTGATTTGCATCGCTTCCAGGTTTCGGTTATCAAGCCCATCTTACCTTTTCGTGAACAAGAATTATTGAAACTGAACAACGGATAGAAAAAAGATTTATATGCTGATGTTGGGTTTCAAAAACAACACACAACACCACCCTCCATCAATTTAGTTTGAAGGAGAAACGAGAACTTTGTAATATGAACAATATAAACAAAGGGCACGAAAAAATTGTGAAATTACAGGATCGGATATGTGTGGAATCAACCCCTGTCGTAGACCAAATAAACCATGACTTTCACTCTTGGAATCACTGTGTTACTCATACTTTTTCAATGAATAAACAAGTGAAGGATCATGCAAAATATGAATGAAGCGATCGGAAAAGAATCACAAGGATTCAAGTACTGGTGGTTGTGCTTGGTTTTCAGGAATGCCAGGAGGGCGAGGGAGGATACAAAGGGGAGAGGAAGCAGAAAGATAAGCTATCTAGGTACAATTTGCGTCTTTGATGGGGCAATCTTGGCATGGAGAGGGTAGTATATAAAGCCCACATGCATCATTGTTTATTCATAAATGTAACCACTTGTCAACGGTAGGCATGCCTATTTTTCTATATGTGAATACATCAAGTTATATCTTCAGCCAATAGCGTAATATTATGTGTTTAATATTGTTAGTTTAAGATATCTTAATGACGTATTGAAAATGTAAGTGAGTCCTCCCAAATATATAGATATAGGAATACGTACGAATTTACTCATATTATTATTACTACCTGTACAAATAATTTGCCACATGATCTCTAACTACAATCATGAATTGTATTGTTCGGATAAATTTGGTATTTTTCGTATTAGGTATCTTAAGTTTAAGCCTCTACAAATATAGCTTATAAGTTAGTCACAATGTAATCTTAAGAATCATGTCCTCTTGTCAAATTTGTAGTGTTTTCTTTCATTTTGAGTAATATACTTTAGTTTTTGAAATTCGTTCATTTCTCGGTATTCTAATTTTTAATTCTAGAACTGATTACAAATATTATATCTATGTGATAGTTTGAATTTAAGATTTCAAGGACAAAAAAAATTAATGGTGGGCTACGTCAAAATACACTTGAAATTGTGTGGGTGTGAGCTAGTTAGAGTCTACACCATTACTGACGGTGGTAACAATTTTTTTTAATACAATAATATATTTACACTAAATTTGAGACGAAATCTCAATTCGGATTGACTACCTATTCAGTGTTCATATATGGCAGATGATCATTTGCTGGTAGTGGTATGTAAAAGCAAAGGTTCTCAATATTAAGTACGCGTATTCATTATTCATTTGTTGACAGTTAAGAAAGCTAGCATTTGAGTTAGTAAATCTATATATGATGACGGCTCAGAAGAAAGCTCCAAGCAGAAAATATATATACCTCCCTTCGATAAACCCTAATCCATTCTATGTATCACGTGAATAAATCAGTAAGTATACAAACTTAGGCTCACCTTATATGTTCGATGAACCAGGCTTAGCCAACTATATATTGTCAAGTGGCCAATAAAGTGTATACCTTGGCTTTGATTAATATACATATTTATGCAATACCTGCTAATTGGTTAACCAAAAGAGGCGAGCAATAATTCAGGCTTTTTAACAGAGTAATCTTACATTTATCATATTTTTCACACTCTATTTGTATCACATCTCTAATAGAGGTTGACCCCGCCAACACATATGGATTTCATCTCTATTAGAGAAGTGGTACGAATGTGGTATGTAAACTGTGGTAAGAATATCAATTTTGTTTTTACAATCTCTAATACAAATCCTTTTTCATAGACTCCATTTGTAATTGTGAGAGATCTTAAATTCGATACTTGACTTATATATAATAGGGGTAACCTATTTTGTAGGCTTCACCCAAACCTCTCACCCTTGATAAGAGTACATGTTTTATCTTATTAGAAAGGTAACAACCAATATATATGTTCCAAACATCTCCCAATTAGCTTAGAGGTTTTTAATTCCAACACAACAATAAGTGAAGCTGCTGGAAATCTCCACGAGCGACCAAAATAAGTCGAAAACCCTTCTAGCATGTGACATCACCAAGAGCTTAATTGATTGTTTATAAAATTTATTCGTCGGTCTGAAAACTGAAAAGCCAAATTATTGTCTATAAAAATGATGCGACTAACCTAAGTAACAGACTAATTACGATTACTGAAGAGATCACGATGACTAATGCATCAAACATTATCACGTTTATAAATTACGATAAAGTGCCACTTGTCGAGTTAGATGATTAAATACTTGCCGCATCTTATAATATATTATATCTTCAAATTTAGCTACGTAAAACATATTCAAAATGATTTCTCATTAAGTAGACAAATAATCTGAGGGACAGATATAGATCATGCGTTGCAATCATGCTTGTTAAGTAGATATAGAATAACAATTTTAATAGTGCCATTTAGTACTATGATATAGCGGTATTTCTCTTCACTTGTAAGTAAGAAGTCTTAGGTTTGATTCTCGCCAAAAGCGAATTTAAACCACATTATTGCAAGCTCATTGTGAGGCTTAGCTCACTCCTCAACCCTTATACTATCTCCAACCCTTGGGGATAAAGCTTAAAAATTTAAGCCAGAAAATTTTAATAAGTCATATCCCAAAAACTGCTTTTCTCCTCCAACATAAGGCTTAAAATTTTAGCTCGAGATTATTAAACAATGATTTTAGCCAAACTTTATGATAACATTTTTGAAAATAAAATTTATGTAGATTATCCTAATTTATTTTTATGAACATTATAGTCTAAAAATATTTAAATTCCTATTAGTAATTAAAAATCATACAAATGTATAAGTATTTATAAAGTTTAAGTTAAATTTGATTTAAATTATTTTAGACGTTAGATTTAATTTTGGGCCGTGATTTTTTTTTTATTATTATTTTTTTTTACCATTACATTTGATCTCGTTTGATCATAGTCGTTAGATTATAAGTGAAAAAAGGTTTGAAATATGATAGTTTGGTGGGTTCAAAATAATTTAAGCCAGACTTAAATTCGGGGGAAATCTAGCCCAGATATATATTTTCTTCCCATAGCTTATATAAGGCCATGGTTGGAGATGGTTTTTTTTTTTTTTTTTTTGGGGGGGGGGGGTGGGGTTGGTTTAAAGTTTATATTTAAAGTTTTATCCCATGGGTTGGAGATGGTCTCAGTGTAGAGAATATTGTTTGTTCAAAAAAAGAAAAATAATAGTAGACTAAACTGTTGTTTGACCTTATGAACTATTATTTCAGTTGAAATTGACCTCTTAATTATTTTTTGGTAAATAACCCCTTGAACTATTTGAAATTAGTCAATTAATCTATCACCGTCAAATTCGATGAAAGTTCATCCACTTTGCTGTTAAATGCGTGTCTAATACATAATTTCCTCTTAAGAGTAAAATCGTACCAATATTTGATGTCAAAATAAATGAAATTTCTTTCTTAGATGGCAAAGGCTTTAAGACTGAATACTATGAGGCTTGGAGCAGACGTAATAGTGTTTTCTCGTTGTGTTGGGAAGGATGGGAGAACGTTTGTTTCTCTCTCTCTGTTAAACCGTAGCTTGGAAACTTGATTCTCTTGGTCTTAGAAGCTGTAGTTTACATGATTGTAGTACAAGGACCTGCAGAAACGGCGCAAACTTTTTGTCACATCTTTTTGTCAAATTGAAAAGCAACCGACTCATATTGTTCTCTCTTAGGCCGACGCAGACCATTGGATTGCTATCCTACACCTTTTTGAGGGGTACTGGAAAGGAAGACTTTGTGGTTCCCCCCAAAATTTCTTTTTCTTTTATGGTGGTAAATAATGACAACTACATTTTAGCCGTCCCTGATTCTTATTCTTTTGGGTTTATAATTTTGTACCGTAACTCTGGAGAACATGGCATTTCTCAGGAAGAAGATCCTTCTTATTTAGCCATGCTTATTTAAGCGGAGAGGATCTTCTTCAGCAGGTAATTCCTTAAAGAGCATGGTGCGCGTATAATAATTTACAACCTTTGGGAGGATGATGAAGGAAAACTGGAACTCGATTTGGACACTGATCCTTTTGACTCTTTTTCATTTGATCGTTGTTTTTTATCCGAAGTCTTGTAATTATTGGGTACCTGCACTGCACGTTCAGATTTGAGTTCTTATCTTTCGTGGATGAAATGACAGGATATTCAAATTAATTAGAGGAGTCAATGAGGATGAGAAGAACATTCAGATGGCAAAACGCTATCCCAGCTTTAGACACTACTTAACTGTCGGCATTTGTTTAGGGTATGTTTGAAGAACTCACTCACTTCAATGAATGTCAACATTCACTGTGACAGAAACCGTAATTCTCGAAGAAGACAGTTTCACATATGATCTTACATCAGATAGAACTTTAGAATTATTCCTCATGGAAAAGATGTTGAACATCATAATATAGTGAATGACATGATGTTAACTAAGGAGGTAACGTACAGACCTTGCAACTTCCAGAAGGAATGTCGTCAAAAGATGAAAATGTAATACCTTCGAGACTAAATCTTGAAATAGCATTTTACAGATGACCGTTTAAATGTGACGCTTGGTTTTGTAAATATCATATTGATGTCCAAGGGTTCAGCATATATCATAAAAATCGACTGATTAAGGTTAGTTGTCAGTGTTTTTTGTCTTAGAATGTCTCATTTAAATTGTTGGTGGTACTTTGCTAGAATAAGGGACAATAATGACTTGCATTCTTGTACGGTATATTCTGTTTTCTTCTCTTATTTTGCCTGAAAAAACGTCCTTAGCAGCCGTTTTGGAGGCTATGGAATCCTGCTGGCAGTGATGGTCGTGGCGTTATAGGTATTTTGTATACTTCTCAGGCAGAGTAGTTCTTGTGTTTCTCTCGGTGTTGCAGAGACTAATTGTAATGTGGATTAGTTCTGTTACCCACTCTTGTCATCTTTCTCCTTGACAGGTGTTTTGGAAGCTAATTTTGTTGAACCAGCTCACGACAAACAGGGATTTGAGCAGACAACTGTGCTTTCAAGACCAGAGGTAAAATTGGTTAAAATTCAAAAGGATTACTGGTTTGTTCTTTTCCTAAATACCGCTTAAGTACTTGAGGTTACATGTATCTAACTTACTGTGAGCCATTTTTTTCTAGGGGCAAAAATTGCCAGACTGTTGGTTATGCTCCAAGAAGACGTACTACTGATTTTCCAGAAAGAGAACCCTTAGCGTCTGGTAGAGGCAAATCCTGTCTCGTAAATCAGAATTGCCATGGTTCTAAGTTCAGCAACAAACTTGAAAAGGGATCGTCACCCGTAAATGCTTCAAGTGAAGATGGGATCTGTTATGAGGAATTACACTCTTCTATTGAACCCCAGCACGATCCTGCTTCAGATGAAAGAGTCCCTCAAATGCTTACGCGTTCAGTCAAAGGCATTTTATTTTACCTTTACTTCTCACTTATGCTTATAGCAAACGCAAAAGAGTTAAAAGATTCTTGTGGACCTTATGGTTAACCATCGAGAATTGGACGGTTAATAGAAAGTTGTGTTCACTAAAATTTTGCTAACCACCACCACAAGTTTTCTCACTGCTTATATTTGCTCCCACTAGCAGACATCCGCTACAAATGGAGTGGGGCAAGTTTCTACAGATTGCAATGCTGAGTGTTCAACCAAATCGCAGGAGGATTATCATGAAGCGACAGAAAGGTTCTGTGAAATTGAGCTCTTTACCTTCTTTGATTGTGGGAATCGTCCTTTTATCCAAAACTTACCATTTCACTGTTGTCTTCTTCTTTTTGCAGTTTGAAGAAGATTGTCAATCCAACAATGGCTAAATTGCTAAACGAGCGCAATTTGTGAAAGGTGTAAATCTCTTGGAAATGAAGTCAGCGTGCTTGATTTTAACATCTATCTTGAATTTGTACGTTATATTACAACATTAAATTTCAATACTCATGTTTTTCACTCTTCGTTTAAATCAGCTTGAGCTGGGCAAAACAAAAAATAAAAGAGTTGGAGAAAGAGCAATCGACTTTCCTTGAAATAATAGTGCAAGAAAAGGCTGAGAGGGAACAAGAGGGGGAAAGACGAAGGAAAAACCTATAGGTGAGGATTTACCACCAACCTCTCTTAGCATCTTCACGTGTCCATTGTTTAAGATTTTTTTTTCCTCTGGCTGCAGGGGGTTTCTAACACCGTCGGTAAGTTGCTTGAGAAGGTGAAACTTGAAAGAGCTAGAAGGAAAGAAGCTACTAAACCCTAAAGTTGCGTGTGAATGAGGCACATGCACGAGCGTCCGGGCTTGTTTTAACATGTAGCTAAATGTTAACGCAATGGGGAGGACTTTTGTGTGGGAAAATATTGGTAGACCATTTCTGATAAAAACCCTTAGCCACTTTAGGACCAGTTCAAAGTTGTCTTAAACCCTAAACAATTACAAATCACAAGCTAACAGAGCACAGAAATATTCGTGGACGGAGGATTGATGTGAAATATGTCTTAATTGTTATATCCAAATGTTTTTCATCTCATACATGAACAGAATCTCTTTTTGCTACCATGGCAAATAAGCTTTTTTGACCATGATAAACAATCATACATATGGATCATAATTATTTAGATGTCTGAAAACTAAGGATTCTGGTTTTGTTGGGTCCTATGAGGGGACGGAGGAGGAACATATGGTATCCAAGTTCTGGGGTCTCCAAGGCTGAACGCAGGCAGCGGAGGAGGAGGAGGATAAACTGAGGGGATATAAGGAATCCAAGTCCTGGGATCCCCCAAGTTAAACGCTGGCGGAGCATTTGGGGCAGAAGGGTTCGGTGCCGGAGGGAATTGTGGGAATCGGAAAGGCAAAGACGGTGGGCCCCGGAATGGGAATGGGGGCAAAAATGGCAAAGCAGGCAGAGGAGGAAAGGGCAGGGAAGAAAATGGCGGCAGTTGAGGCCAAGGGAAGAACCCATACGGTGGGAAGTAAGGTAGGAAGAATTTGGAGGAATTGAACGAAGTTACCAGTTCACCCTCCACCTTCCTGTTTCCACACAATGTGAGATTTTTCTTAGGTGACAGGAAACTCAAGGCGTTCATGTTGTAGATGCAGAGGTTGTCTTGTTTCGATTTGACTGAGATTTCGTCTGCGGTGGTTCTTAAGGAGGGGACATTGCAGGAGGAGGAGGAGCTGCCTATTAAGGTTGCCTGGCACATTGACTCAGGGCAAAGCCACTGATGCAATTGACTCCATCGACAGAGGGGATTTCAAGTTTATAGACTCCGCACTTGTATGTGGTTTTGTTGACCTGGAAGTTCATCAGTGATGCTGACTTGAGGGATTTTGCTCCGAATTTGCATTTTATGAGGACATCCGCACCTGATCAGTCAAAAAATCAAGGGTCTTAGATTCAAATTTTGTTTTGAAACTAATAAGTAGTAAGTAAATTAGCTACATTCATCATTTAAACAAAAAAAAAAAAAAAAAATCCTAAAGTGCTTTAGAATGACAAAACTTTCAAAACCTAAAAAGTCTAGAAAGTGCGCATTTTATAATGTTTGACAAAAAAACTTAGAAGTTAGAAAGTATTTTCACTGTGTATTTTCAGAAAATACTTGAACTTCTGTGTTATATTTAGACAAGCAATTTTAAAGTATCAATGAGCTTTAGACTAAATTATTAAAAATGCAATAAATACAATCAATGAATTACTCAAACACTACAAATCTACTGCTAATTCACTACAAAATGCACTACTTTTAAGTTCAAATCATACCTTGAAATGTATCATTTGAAATCTCTCCAATATATTTTTACAGTGCACTCCTAAGCATACCATTATAAACATTTGCTCTGCTTTTAACAAAAGTGCTTACAAGCAAAAACGCGTATTTATAGATTCTAAATCAAACTATGCTGTATTTCAGAGATTATATATCTGGGAGAAAGTAGCTGCTCCTAGAGAAACAGTTGCTTAAACAGGTATCACAGTAAATAGCTCCCACGACAGTGATCTGAGCTGTTGGTGGTGTGGATCTAGCAGCCAGAGCAGGAGAGAGGATGGCAAGAGATGCAAGAAGCAGAAGAAATGAAATAATTGAATCCATGAGTGTTTGTTGCTAGCTGGTCTGTGTTATGTAGCTGGAGGATTCAAGCTCTCCGTTTAATGGAGCCCATGAGTATTTGGTGTTAAGACCAACTGTAATCAGAGAGATGAAATGCTTTATATATTCAGAACAAAACAAAGACATGTGAAGAACCCTGTTGGCATGATTGTCAGGGAAGAGGGAGGGATAGACGAGAAAAATTACATGCAAATGCTAAAGTGACAGTATTCCAAACACTTCACGAGTTACTATATATTTTAACTTGCACTTATGATATTGTATAATTAGTTTTGGAATATTGACAACTTGACGTTCCTATTACATGTAAGTTCGTGAGGGTTTATTGTTGGGATAGTAGGGCTTTAACTTCTGTTGTGAATTCTGGACGAAACAAGTTGTAACTAGATATGGGGTTTTTCGCCCTTTTTTGTTTTTGACATTTTGCATTTGGGGCTTGGGGATCATTTTCTCTTGGACTCCTCCCCCACATTGTTTGAAGACCACTAGATGATTCAATTTGAAGGAAATTTCTTTGTCATGCACAACTCTCCATATATCTGCTAGCACTGGTCCTTACACTATGTCCGTGTGAGAAATTTATAGAGTGAGAAGTTAAAAAAGTAAAGAACGGGAGAGGGAAGTTATCTTTATCTATTTGAAACATATTTTTTGCGTTTTGGTTGTTTTGATGATGTGTGGGTGAGAAAAAAAAAAAATTTGTGCAAAATTACTTCAATACCCATTAATTTAAAAATGTTTTTCTTAATTATGCATGAAAAAATATAATAATATTTCCTTAAATTTTTAATTGAAAAAGAGAATTTTATTAATAAATAATATTAGGCTTAATTATTACAATGGAATCTGGATTCTCACCAGATCCTCTTTGTGAGGATTCTGAGAATATGTGAATTATATCTGTTCATTGCAATGGCGGATCCAGGATTTTATACTCGGAGGGTCCCAATTATAAAGGTCAAAAAATTTATAGACAAAAATAACATTGAAAATTTACATATAATACATTTCATTAAAAAATCATATGCAAAACAATAGTACAAATTATAAAATCATAATTCAGGCATTACGAGGTTTCATAAGTTACTATGGAGTACCTAAGTTATTGATTATCTAATATGAACCACTAAATTTAAAACACCGGTCAAATAAAAGTCCCCAAACTCCCACTATCTTTCTAATCAAACACACCATTTTTCTATTTTACCAGTTACCAAACATCCACATTCTCTCTTACTAAGAACAAAGCTGTCATACCTCCACCAACCGCCTCCCTCCCCATTCTCCAGAAGCCATGGCAGCTCCACCCCTAAATTTCACCAACCCATGACAAATCATATCCATCTTACTAACCTTATGAAGGAAATTTCACCCATAAGAAAAATTACTAAGATGGTTGAAATAATTTGGGGAAATTTGGGCTCATGTACTGCCCCCGCCAGACGACAGAGAAAGGTTGGAGGAGAAGTGGGTGGCACCGACGGATGAGACCATGGCAGAAGCAAGGAGGAGAGAGGCAGGAAGGGTCCCTATTTTCTTTTCTCCATGCGTGGTCATCTTCTCCGAGAAAAAGACAGCCACTGCAACATGCAACCTACAACCTACACAAACCTCATGCTCAAGTACGAGGGGTCCTCGGAAAATTTATAGCAGTGATTTAGGATCGCCGACGGGTCTTGGGACCTCCCAGATCCCTATGAGGATCCGTCATTGGTTCATTGTATATCGTACGGTCATAAATCATTTTAAATATTTTTATTTAAAATTAAATACAAACAGTACCTAACAAAAATTGACTGCACGATATACGATGAACGGACATGATTTACAGATCCCCATGATCCTCACCAAAAGGATTAAGACAGGATCCTGTTGGATTATTATGGTGTCTATACTTTACCCCTAGTATTATTTTAATCTCTGAACCTTCATATTAATTTCTTTAGTCATCGAACTTAACAATGTCTTGTACTATTGGTCATTTTCCGTAACGCCGTCTATTTTTCCGGTAAACTTAAGGGTATATTAGGAACTTCATCCCACATCACTAAAATTGAATTTAAAAATGATAAATGAGAAGAAGAAAAACTCTTTAAATAATCAGATTTCTTTGTGTAAGAAAAATTGTGACATCCCGTCCCGAAATTATCGAAAACGTATGTGTGAAAAGACTGTTTTGCCTCTAGTTCGATTTTGTTACGTATTTTGGTTGTTTTTGTGTTGTGTTGGCATGTCTTTGGGCCACACACACACTCCCACACCTGCACCTGTCCCTGTCCCTTTCCCTGTGAGTTCCCCCGAGTTCCCTCTCCTCTCATTTTCCATTGAAAACGTACGGCACACACCCAAAACCCCTCAAACCTTTACAGATCGAGGGAACCAAGTACACCTTCAAACTCGTGAGGCTCGTGCGAGTGCAACCATACCATTTTCAGGTAAGTTTATCACCGTTTTCACGTCGATTCGACGAGGTCCGTTTTGGATACTATTCATGCAAACGTAAATGCTTACGTTTTAGGGAAAATGGAACTCGTAGGTAGCTTGGTGAGGTCCCCAGGAGTCTCGGAGTAGCTCGTTTGAAGAATTTAGACGTCGGGATCACCGTGTTCGAAGTTGGCCGGATTTGGAGTTTGGTGACAGGTAAGATTTCGTGAATTTTAGCCTTTAAAAGTGGTACATCGTGATTCTCCTAGGTCTAAGCTTCGTTTTGGTAGTAATTTCATGAAAATTGGACGAAAAATGAGTGAGATATGAACGTTTGAAGTTTTCGCGATTTTCCGGCGCCGGCGACGTCGCCGGAGTCTCGCCGGAGAAGGAGACGGAATATTCCGTCAATTCTGACGGAATATTCCTGACGCCGTTAACGGAATCCGTTAGAACTAACGGAATATTCCTAACGGCGTCAGTTGACGCCGTCAGCGTGCCAGGCACGTGCCTGTGCGTGGCCGGCGCATGTGGCCGTGCCTTGGCCGACGCGTGGGGGCGCGTGCGGCTGTGGAAAATTTTTCTAAAATTATGGGTGTGATCCTGAGGTTGTGTAGAGCACGTTGGTATATTCAATTGTCCATTTTGAGCAATGTATGAGAAGTTATTACGAAAGGAAGGTTATGTGTTTTAAAATTAACGTTTTTATAGTATTTTCGCATATAGGTGAGACGTATCCCGAGGACGAGCGTGGTCACTCGAGGCAGGGGGGTTACGACCCTTCCACATACCAGTGAGTGAGCTTTTGGTTTTCCGTATATACCTATATTTTCCCAGAAATTGTTAAAAAGGGTTAATTGTTTTATGCCATGCACCATATTATTATTGTTTATGCATCATTACGTGCATTATTAGTTGCATACATGTACATATGCATATTCGGGTGCTGTGGATGCACAGGTAAGTGCCAGGTAAGCGTTATTTCATATTTGCATTCAGTAGTGGTTTGAGATGCTTAGAGAGCTCATAACCTGCACTCCCGGTGTTAGTGCTCCCGCCCAGAGTAGGGCACAGTCCTTCACGTGATGTTCACCTCCCGCACCACACGCTCAGCTTGGATCCAAGTTAGTTGCATAGTCCTGTCGTACAGACCACATTAGGTGGTTCCGACTCGTAGGTGATCCGCGATTATTCGCACAGAAAAAAGAATTTTGTTTTTTAATTCTCTCTCACCCTCTATCTTCCTTCGGTATCACCATTCTCTCTCTCCTCCTTCCCCGTCAGAAAAACTCTCTCTCTCCCCTTCTTCTACGGAAACCCCAAAGAAGCTAAAGATATCTGAAACTGAAATCGAAAATGAGCTACCGCTGCTGCTGCAATTCTGGAAATTGCTCGATCATATTTGTTTCGAGCTATTATTAGTAGCATGAATCGGATCCCGACCTTATGCCTTTTGCTCTGCTTGTCTCATTTGGGGTTTCTCGTGAAAGGGGAGAGACGGAGAGAAGGGAGCGGTGGGGATGGCATGAGAGAGAGAGAGAGAGAGAGCTGAAGATTTGTTTTTCTGTCCACCGTTGTATTTCAACTCGATTAACTTTCAGTAAACGATTGAGATAATTAAAAAACAGTGTTGCCAACTTGTCATTGTTTATGCTGCAACCAGTTTTATATAGCTTCTTACTGTTACACTTCAAAACGCCAGATAAATCTTGGTAATTATGTCTGAGTATTATTAACTAGGTAATTGTAAATGACGCTTCAACGCAGTGCGAGAAATAAATTATGCCTATCCGTTCTGGTGAGGGTTCGACTTCCTACTAATCATCCTCCTCCTAACAATTAATCATTTAATCGGTCCCTAACGCTATTGTTTGTTAATATATATATAAACTAGTTAATTAGCTGGAGGCTATGTTGCACCAGTACTTCAAATTTGGACAAGGGTGAGTATCGGATACCTACATCCCACGATACCTTTCGATACATATCGGATACTTCATTAGAAGTATCGTTGACTTTTTGTGTAGTTGACTATCAGATACTTCTCAAATACTCTGAGGATACCATCGAAATACTCTAGAATATGGTCAAGATACTCCTAAAACATTGATCTTGAATTAAGTTAGGAATTTGGGTTGTTGTAGTTTTTAAATTCCGTTGTGGATTTGGGAGACTCGCCAGGACATTTAGAGATGGATGTCGCCCCATCAGAAAGGATAATCATTTTGGTCCTGGGAGAGGCAAGGATCAATCTCAAGAATGTTAGGTTTTTCCAGCCTATGATAAGTTGTCATAAGTCTATAAGGATTATAGTCTTAGATGATTAAATTGTTTTCCCAATTGGAGTTAGTTTCTTAATTGGAGTATGATTTATAACTATATTCCAATTAGGATTAATAATCGTTATTAAACAAGACCTTTATTATGTCTATATAAAGGGGCTATTGTAGTTTTGAATTAGGAGGAAGCAAAACAATAAATTGTATACCACTCAAGGGATTAGAGTGAGGAGAACATTGTAAAGTGTGTGCGAGAGGAAAGAAAATAGATAGTGTATTTCTTGTTCTTGTTCTTTCAGATTTTTCGTCAAGTCCTAGTTCTAGAGATTTGGCAAGATTATTGGTTGTACTCATTATTGATATAGTGAAAGATTATTGTTAATGTCCGGTGAACGTAAGCACATATTGCCGAACCACGTAAATTCTTGATGTTATTTATCATGTTTATTTGTTTTCAATTTCCGAAGTTTGTTATATTTTTTCTCATTCTTAAACGCGATATTCTCAATAAAGAATTAAACACTAAGCAGTGTTCTATTTTGTTAATGCTATAAGATAAAATGAATGTTTCATTCACTCGATAGTGATTTAACTTATATAATGAATTATGAACATATGGAATATATTTTAGAAAAGATGTATTATTTTAATTTCCATATTTTTACTATTGTATGCTTATTTTTTAGAAATTTTTGTATCGACATACATTATCATACCAGATACCTAACTTGTATCCGTATTCGTATCCGTGCAACATGGCTAGAGGTGAATAACATGAAGAAGCAGAGCAAGTAAGAAAATGAAAGTGAAATTAACATAAATATATTCCAACGTAGTTAAAACTGAACATACACTCTCACTCTTTTCTTTTCCCTTTTTTTTTTCCCTGACATGCATGTAATAATTCGACGATGACGATCAGAGCCAGAGGGCCCCAGCCTCCTTAAGAAGTGGGACCAGGGACCCATTGATATGGGAAGCCATGACTCTATCCATGGCGCCGACAAGCTTGCCACCAATGAAGACCACCGGAACCGCCGACGAGTTGCCGAGCAACCTCATGAGTGCCCTCTCGATCTCCTTCCCTCTGGGGTCCTGATCCAGCTCGTACACCGTTGTGTTCACCCCCATCCCGCAGAAGAGCCTCTTGACGGCATGGCACATGCAGCAGCTGCTCACGCTGAATATCACCACCGCGCTCTTCGAGGCCAGCCTTGCCACCCGCTCTAGTGGATCCCCCATGCTCATCCTCACCGGCACGTAGTACCCCCATGACTCAGCAGCTGCCTGGTAATGCATCATGATTAACAATGCACTAATACAATCCTAATCTCTCCTCTTAATTATTAATTAATTGGACCCAAAAACGAACAAAAAACCCCACTAAGTAAAATCGTAGATTGCAACTGAGAGGAGAGAAGTGAAGAGAAGTTGTTTATGGTTTGAAAATTGAAATTGGAATTTGAAAAAAGTGAGAGTGAGGTGCGGATTTTATAGGGATGTATGTGAGGGGTAAATTGGTAATAATGAAGGGTTGGGAGGGGTCAAGGGGGTTGCCTGTGTGTTGTCGCAGGGCGTGCGAAGAGGATGTCGTGGTTTTTGCTTTAAAAGGATTGTTGTCTGTACTACAATGTACAAGGAGGGGAGAGGAGCGTACACGTGGACAAAATACATACTCGTATTCTCTGGTGGTCACTGGCGGATGCGGCGGTGTCAGGAGGTGGAAGGCGGCGAATGGGGTATTTTTGTCTACGGAAGTTAGGGAGGGGTACTGTGTCAGCTCAATTTTAAGCTGAAATTTAGTGCTTTATTCAGATTATGTTGGAATTGAAGCAGGCTTTAATAAAAGGGGGCAAACGAGGCAGAGGGAGGGATTAGACGGCTGCGCTGGTCCTAGTTGTCGAGAGCGTTGTTATGTATGACCAAAAACTTCTGTTTGCAAATTCTGACGTGACCCTTACGCGCATGTCTCTAATCTTTTTCTTCTTTTTTGGTTTTTTGGGGTTTTGGATTTTGGTTCCATCAGCAGATACAGTATTGGAATGGCCATTGGCCATTGGCCAGAGATTGGTGGGAACAAAGGCGAGATTTTTTAATGTAAACCGTCACATAAAGTGGTACATCATGTGTTTTTATAAAAAATGTCGATTATGTGTGTTAAAAGGTTAATAACTTAAAAATTAAAATTTTTTACCATTTGCATAAAAATACGTGATATATTATCTATATTCTCGTCATAATTAAAAATTTCTTGAAACAAAGAACATGATCGTGATGATCAACGGTTTTTCTTTCTTGAGTTTTGCAATTTGACCCCCACACAACTCCCATCCCATGGAAAAGTAGAACTGCGACATCTAGCAGCATGCCACATTGCCATGCATGCATGCTGGTGTTTGAATTATTTTCATGTTTTTGTTGTCTGTAGAGTCGTGTCTTCCTGCTAAATTAACTACTTTTTACTTTTTCTAAGCTAATTGACCATAGTAAATAAGCTCCATATGGTTAGTTTACTTTAGTGTTCACTGTTCACAAGGTTCTACTAATTAAGAGATTTTTTATTGTGACCGAAATACAGAAGATACATTATGTGTTTTTATATAAGTAATAGGAAATTTTATTTTTTAAATTATTAATTTTTTAACACACATATCCTATCATTTGTATAATGACACGTGATGTACCACCTCGCGTACCAGTCACATTGAAAAATTTCTCCCACTACTTAACGCATGGAACTCCAAACACTAAAACCCTCGTGCGTTAGTTTATTAGAGTAGTGTATATATTGCACTTCACTATTAATTTCGTACGTTGAGAAGTTGTCCTACAATTAGACAAATTCTTTAACCTCTACTGAACGTGTGCAAGTGTGCGCCTGTTTCTCTAATTCTATCACATAACTAGTAACATGATTAGAAAAAGCAACATGAGTGTATATAGTCTGTAAAAGGGCAAATTTTCTCTTACAACGGGGTTATATCTCTTAGTTAATTTCTATAGCTCTTATCATGTCGTACCAATTGTAGGTGCAATTATATGTCTATTTCTCTCGTCATGTTATTGATATTGTGAGATCGATGAGAGAACTTAATGAGTGAGAAAGACGCTTAATTAAATATAATTGGTGATAAGCAGATTTTCTCCAACAATTGAAGTATATCTCTTAATATCTACATCTCTTATCATGTGGTATATATGAATAGACATATATATCGCACATGACAAATTAGATTTTCTCCGAAGTATGGCTTGGACGTCCTATATATTCATGTTAGTTTTCTAAATTAGTAGTGTATGTAATTGACGACTGTCTTATATATCTATTTTTTAAGAAAAAAATTAGAATGAGATGCCTCATTTTATACTTTTCTAGATCAAATATTTGTTACTTTCCAACTTCAGATTAAAGTGTTTTCACTTTTATTAAGAACACTACTTCGTTTTTGAAAGAATAGCACCAGCTACTGCTAAAACCCAATCACTAATGGACACGTGTCCAAATATTGAAATTGGAAACCCAGATTGGACACGTGTCCATTTGTATTGAGGTTAAGTAGTGTTCTTTGATTAAACTATATATTTCAGGTATATTCTTAATTTAAATGTTTTTCAAATTCATTTTAAATTCATTACTATGTCAAAAATCTACTCAATAATACTAATTAATTTATTGTTATCTTTATGGAATCTCATCCCTTCCTCAATTTAAGGATTCAATTACATTTAGTGAGGGTTGAGATTAATTTAATAATCAATATATGTCTAAATTATTTAAGAAATTTCAAGATATCCAAGAGCTCTTTTGGATATACTTTTTTCAAGATTAACTAGCATTTTTACTAAGAATTGTTTCTAAAAATATCTTCATTAAAAGCGCTTTCAGTCATTTTGAAAGCATATCCAAACAAGCTATAAATCACTTGTAACCTTGCTTTATACAAAAAGTGTTTGTAACTTTTTTCTTTATTACTGTAATTATTGTTGTTGATGGTTATTTTTCATTCTTTATTTTCATTTTTAGAAATTCAAGTCTAATTGAACTAAAATGTACCATCGTTCTTTAAAAATAAACATTGACATGTACCAAGACAATTTATTCTCACATTGAAAAGTACCTTTACTAAATTAAAATGTATTCATACCGAATAAAAATGTATGCTTACTAAATTGAAATTTACCCATATTAGCTTGAAGTGTACCAACAAGTTTTACAGCTACACATAACTTGATGTTAGCTTTTATGTCACAACCCGGCCCCTAGCCCCCACCACATCCCGGGCTCGACTCCACCGTAGATATTGTCCGCTTTGGGTTCCGATCATGCCCTCACGGTTTTATTTCTAGGCACTCACACAAGAACTTCCCAGTGGGTCACCCATTCAGGGAATGCTCTCGCCTGAACTCGCTTAATTTCGAAGTTTCGATGGAACTTGAAGCCAGTGAGCTCCCAAAAGGCCTCATGCTAAGTAGATATGAAAATATACATATAAGGCTTACAGGATCCTCACCCCTGAGTGATGTGGGATCTTACAATCCACCCCTTAGGGGCCCGACGTCCTTGTCGGCACACTTCTGACCAGGGATTGGCTCTGATACCAAATTGTCACATCCCGGGCTCAACTCCACCGTAGCACGATATTGTCCGTTTTGGGCCCCGCTTATGCCCTCACGATTTTGTTTTTGGGAACTCACACAAGAACTTCCCTGTGGGTCACCCATCCTCGGAATGTTCTCGCCCGAACTCGCTTAATTTTGAAGTTCCGATGGAACCCGAAGCCAGTGAGCTCCCAAAAGGCCTCGTGCTAGGTAGAGATGGAAATATACATATAAGGCTTACATGATCCTCACCCCTGTGCAATGTGGAATCTTATATTTTACATACCAAAATTATGATAATATAAACGTATCAATACCTAGGTATGTATCTAAACAAAAAGTAAATAACATATCAAATACTAATTGATATATAAATTTGGATTACATAATGTACCAATAATGTACCAATTATGCACCAAATTATTGGTACGCTCTTTTTTAATATATACGGGCATGCATATATATAATGTATGTACTATCATTTGGAGTAAATTAGTACGTTTAAAATAACACTTTTTTTTTTGGTTAAAAAATCATCGTCTTTTTTACACCCACAATTCAAAAGTTTTTTGTTATTATAAATATTTTATTTTATTTTATTTATTTGAAGTATATTGAATTAATGGACATAAATTAATTAACAATATCTTCTTTTGCAAGATTTTAGAAACTTGTTATATATAGGATTTAATTAGTAAATTAATTATAATAACAATTTGTGTAATTTGAAATTAATTAGTAAATTAATTAAAATTGTAGAAAGTAGTTTGATCAAAATCTGTGAAAGACTTAAGACTAGTTTGGTATTGTCGTGCTTTATAGAAAAATTGTTTCTACTGCGCTATGAGAATAAATAACTGTAAAATAAAGTTATTGAGTGTTTAGTAAACTTTTTTATTTTTTTTTATTTTTTTTTTGTAAAAGTGCTTTTAACAAAAAAAAATGTATGAGTGTTTGGTAAACTTTTATATAAAACTGTTGTAAATATGTTAAATGACTTAAAAGAATATAGTATGAATGTTAATAATTGGCGAAGAGAATAATGCAGAGGTAAAGATTGTAATTTTGTAAAATATGTGAGGCTGTATTTGCCATTTGAAAATTTCATTAAATGGGCACTGTTCACTTCATTTGAAAAAAAAAGGCACTTTTCTTGGAAGCAATGCTTTTCTATTGTCATTAGCAGCAGTTTTTCAAAAAAAAAAAAAAATATTGTTTTATCAAACACATTTGGTGTTTCAGATTTTTTTAATAAGCTACTTTTTTTTAGAAGCACCACAACCCCAATTAGCCCTTAGATGTTTAGCCTAAGAAATTCAAACCAAAGTATCCAGACCAAAATGCCCCTTTTTTCTAAGCTTTAACTTGGTTTATTATATGTACATGTAAAAACTAGATTAAGGTCGATTAGGGATTCATAAAATATATATATATTTATGTATAAAAACAATGGGAAATAACAACAAACAAAAAAAAAGGTGGAATCTAGTAACGTGTAGCAGCAAAAGCAATAACAAAGCAAACAGTTGACTTGGATGTTGGATCGATTACAGAGAAAGAAGAAAAGGGAAGGCGTGGCGTGCAATATAATACAGAAGAAATCGGGCGGCGGGCACAGTTGCATGCAGCGGCAGGATGTGAGGAATCTTTACTCCATCTATACAAATCTGGGTTTAATTTAGTTGACGGTTTGGGTGTATAGGTCCGACCAGAGACTTTTGTTTTTGGCTTTTTCAGCACAAATAGTACTGTAGCTACGTACTATCTATGGGATTCTCTCTTCTCTCAGATGTTGAAACTGGACCGGTTTTAAGAACAGAATCTGGTTTGTGCAGTACAGCCG